GAGGTACAGGGTATCTCCTTATACTCATCACATCGGACTTGACTTTCCCTTACGCCTATGACCAAAATCACCACGCCACGGCTCTCTTAAAAAAAATCACTCAACGACCTGGCCCTCTCTCTACTTCCCCAAATAAATTATTTGCCAAGAAAATTCTAAAGTGGTGAGGAGGGCGTGGCTGGCGTGGGGGGTGAACGCCCTCCCAAGTGTTTTCTTATTGTTGTGGGGGAGGTGGAGGAGAGGAATGTGACGAAACGTCCAGTGTTTTAGGCGTGTTCCGGCCGTCCTCTCAGTACTAGAAAAAAAGCTCTAATTTTTTTTATAAAAATAAAAGAATAAGCTCGACATTAGAACATCCGCATAAAGTTATTTGGAGCCGCGGTCGTGTAGCGGCTAGATGCCAGCCTGCGGATCCAAAAGTCGGAGGTTCAAAACTGAACAGAGCTAAACTTTTTTTTTTCAAAAATGTCTTTATGTCCCAGGTCGACACAAGAGTAAATGAGTACCAGATAAAGTCCTGAAAAGTAAAGACGGCCCCTGTGGTGTTGACTACATCGTCTATCGAGTGCTGATTGGTCTATAAAATATATGTCTAGTCCTAAAAGCCCAATACGTCTGAAGGCGTGGCCAAGAGTCATTCACTTGACTTGTGTTCACTTATACTGTAGTTATATCTCTGCATCAGATTCTTAGGATACCTTTAACACTTGAAATGGGTTGATTGGATTTTTCATTGTAGTATCTGGTAATCCTAGTTTCGGCTTCATAGCAAACGGGTCACCCCATAGTTGCTCCGCTCCTGTGCCAAAGAAAAACACACGTAGCTCACAGTGTACCGCCATGCACTCAACTCAGAAGCTGGGCGACGAAACTATATCCGTCCAGTCTACAAATGGCGCCAAAATGCAACGGCCACCGCCTGGCAGAAGAAGAAAAAACATTTGCCAAGGCTAAAAAAAAAGTGGCCGTGCCTAGCGTCCATTTTGACCTGAAGCATTATGTGAGGGTTAATAAATGGTCACCCCAGTAGTACCCTTACTATTAGCTGGGGAAGGGACTTAGGACATTACATCCACCAGCAGGCGTCGCCCCTACAACGACCTGCCTGCCTTCGTTAACGACTGTTCACCCAACAGCCATGCAGTAGTAGTATGTTTGGGGCAGGGGGAGCATGAGGTGAACAAGATATAGCCAAATATACTTATCAGTAAAGTGTGCTGCGTTATCAGTTAATCGAAGTCCCAGCTTCACAGCAAACGGGCAGTCACATATTTGCCTCCTTCCTATTGCCCATATTTTTTTAAATGCAATAAAGAAGTGTTGAATTGGTTTGTATCGTTAAATTTTAATGCAAGCCACAAGTTTTATATAGTCAAACATGAAAACGCAAACGGGAACTGAACAGGAAGTGACGTAAACGCAATTCAAAACATTGCTGTTTTTTCAAGCACGAGGGTATTTGTTTGGTTTAATATTAATATTAATGGTGTTTGTTTATGTTTAAAAAAAAAATAGTGTCTACGCTCTATACAGTAAGTATATAAAAGTAGAAAAAAAAAGTAAAAGTCTCCCATTTTGGTCACACACTTAACTTCTCGTCAAGCAGAACTGTAGACAGATCTCTTCTTATCTTTCCTTTGCTTTCTGAATGATATTCAGATAGTCTCTCTACCCTTAGTTTAAGGTGAAAAACACTCGTTGCATGTCCACTAACTAAAGTATCTATTATTCAGCCCATTAACATACATAAAAAAAAAATAAAGTCATAATTCTGGTACTATATTACTAGTACGGCCGGTACTTACACTATTTATTTTACTACTGACTACTGAGTTATTTTTTTTTGTGTGGGAACTTTTACTTTTACTTTTACCATTGGATTGGTTGACTTCACCATCCTGTGAATATGAACGTTGTTGCTTGTGTAACTGTATAGCCTCTCCCTTTTCACTTGATATTGAATTCTTATGTTGTACTTCTGCAAAAGTTAGTTAGTTGGTGGGTTAGCATCATTGCACTCTGGACATGTCCATAGGTGCTCAGATCCTCCCCTCAGAATGAACCCCAACGTCCGATGGCTAATACTTACCAGTTCTATGTTGATTAACAAGTCGTCTGGTGTGCGTCTCATTTTTTGCTATGCCGATCTTAATTCCCAAGTCTGCCATTCTGGCAAGTGATGTGGATTCACTGCCCCCAAAGTCCTCTATCCTTCCCATTTCTCTGTAGGCAATGATAATATCAGGATGATCTATAGGTTGACCGTCAGTAATTATATCGGATCCAGCCAACCTATCAGCTCTTTCATTTCCATCAAAGTTATTATGATGCAATGGGAAAAAATGCTAATAAATAAGCTTAGCACTTTTTTGTTTTGCTTGCATTTAGTCTTACTGCTCAAATTTGAATCAGTTGCTGAATTTAATGAATCATTATTGCACAGCTGCAATATGTAGTTATTCAGTTTATTGAATTATAAATACAGTTCGGCTATACTCCGAATAATGGTCCTAAATTATCGAGGTGGAAAATATACCCTAACAGGGCCTCAGTCACGTGTCAATTGCACACTTCCAGGGACTATAACGCCACCGCCGATGTGCAAATTTCCCACAACTTCCGCCATCGCCGCCGAAAGTATCCCCACGCCACTCACGTGGCGTGTATTGGGGCTAAACTATATGGCTAGGACTCACAAGCAAATAAAATGAAGGAAGCTGCAGGAGATGTGGTAGCTGCTGCTCCTGAGTCCCAGCCATCTAGTTTAGCCGATACTCTCGGCGGAAGTCGCAGGAAGTGCGCAATTTAAACGACAGAAGTGCGCAATTTACACGTGACTGAGGCCCTGTTAGGGTATATTTTCTGTATCTATAATTTAGGACCGTTTTTCGGAGGATAGCCTACAGTTCTTAAAATAAAAACAAAAAATCTTCCTTTAATGTTTGTCAGACAGATGTAATTATGTTGTACCTGTTTGTGGTAACGCTGCAGTATTTCAGCAGACATCTCCGAATAACGGTCCCAAATTATTGAGGCCGAAAATATACCCTAACAGGGCATCAGTCACATGTCAGTTGCGGACTTCCGGTGACTTAAGTTGCACACTTCCGGCGACTTCCGCCACCGCCAAGAGTATCTTCCACACCACTGCGTTTGGCGTGGATTGGGGCTAAACTAGATGACAGGGACTCACGAGCAGCAGCTACCACATCTCCTGCAGCTTCCTTCGTTTTATTTGCTCGTGAGTCCCAGTCATCTAGTTTAGCCCCAATACACAGAGATACTCTCTGCAATACTGCGGTGGCAGTATAGTCCCCGGAAGTCCGCAATTGACATGTGACTGAGGCCCTGTAAGGGTATATTTTCGGCCTTGATAATTTGGGACCGTTTTTTGGAGGATAGCCGTGTTCTGAATTAGCCTTCCCAGATTGTTTCCTGGGGCATTTATTAGTTTATTTCACAGCCTCATTTGAGATTGAAACTGACTCACAGAGCATGTTGAGAAATGTGGAGACAGGTATGCTCTGTGCAGACTGGCAAGCATCACTTCAGAGGTCCCGGGTAGTCAACATCCTTTGGATATTCTCTCTAGGTATCGCCAGTGTGTTGGGAAATGAGCAAGCAGATAGACTGGTCAGTTCTTCACAACTTGGTGGTGAACTGATGTATGACAAATTAGATGTTGTGAGGGCCCTCTAGGAGTAAGTGAACAGTGCAGAAGCGCAAATAGATCATTACGGTCTGATTAGAATGGCGCCAGGGGATCTGGTAGACGCTAAACTCTCAAGGGAAAGGCGAGATGGATGTACACTCAGTTACTGGTATCATCGGAATTGGAACTCTTCTTTTTGCTCCTGAAGATGGGGGGCGGAGCGTTTAGGGGAGTGTCCTAAGTGCAATGATGTCAATTCTTAATTCAACATTCTTCATTTTAGATGTTGCCTCTAAAGAAATAATCCAAAAAACAACGGATTGGTTGGCCCTCAAAGGAAGGCAGGGACAGAACAGGCATTCCCTGTCAGTAAGTTGGGCACTCAATTGATCGACATCTGAACCTTGGTAGTCATTTAGTAGAACACTCAATAAAGAGTAACCCAGATGTTTTGAAAGAAGCAGGTGTTCGAAGACAACTTATCACAAACATCAGAAAGAAGACAGTCATCATTTTTTTAATTATCTCATAAGTAGAGGGAAAATGGGATATGTTGTAACCACTTGGAAAATTTGTGGAAAAAGGGACAGAAAGACAGCATGAAAAGATTCTTGACAACCTTTTGTGATGGCATGAAGGGGTGTCAACACATAAACAAATACACACAGATTGTGGAGAGGCATGATTTTAATCAGTGAAGGAATTCTTCTTCGCGTTCACCAGCTGTACACTCTGGCGGAAAGTTCTGGTTGCTCGTCCACTACTGAACTGCAGTCCTGCTCCAGAACCTGAGTGTTGCGTGTGCATCAGTTTACAGATCTCATTCTCTTCAATACAGACTGTTGGTTCCTTGCCTCTCCGGCAGATGCACTCTTAAGACATGCTTTTTGGGGAGGAAGTGGGTCTATTCTTGTTTTCCCAATAGGGCCCCGGAACCCACACGGGGGAGTGAAGGAATGAAACCTATTAAAGTTTATCAACGAACGAAAGTTCATTATAGTGTATGGATTGGAGTAGCAAGTTCTCCTGTCAGCTGGCCAGACCTGGGATTTCCCTGCTGCCTGTAGAGAGCATGTTCAGTATTGTGTAGTGCCTGTCTTCATGTGCAGAGTCTCTTGCCCTGGTTTTAAACTAATCAAGGCTTGTGGAGCATGTGAACCAAAGGGAAAAGTGAATAGACATAATCAGACGGCCACAGGCAGAGGATGGGGCACTAACAGGAATGTCCCCATGGTTGTGATTTCGGCTCTTTATGCAACTCAGACGGCTGTTCATTTAGATCTTTTATTATCCTTGTGTGCTTTTTGTTGTACATGGAAACATACTTATTCTGTTCATCTTGCAGATAATGGGAGTCACAAAGCAGTACCTTCGTGTTGCTCCAGGACCAATTTTTGGAATCGTAGCAAGCCAGAAGTCCAATATTGTCTGCTTTCCAGGCATCAGGGCCCAGTCATTCCGGTGTGCAGTTGGAGCCTGTGAAAATGTTTACATATGGGATCTCACTTTAAAAGAAAAGGTAGCCATTTTTTTTCAGAGTTGAACAAATTGTGCTTTTAGTGTGTGTGTCAAATGTGTATGCATGCGTGTGCACATATCACACACACACACACATACTTGTATTCTATACCTGCATGGCTGTCTATCTCCATACATTCATCCGCCCGTGTATCTGTCTGACATATGTATATACCTGCATGATCTGTCTATCTTGTCTTTCATACACATCTAATTTGACTGTTTTCACAAAGCATCTGTGTAATGTACTTTCCTGAAAACAGTAACATTTCATTGTATGTGTATGAAGCCAGATGTATCAACCCAGAGGCACATCAATTATCGTAGTTTAACTATGGGTTTCCCTTTGAGGTTCAGTTCCCTATTGTTAGAAAAACAAGAATTGGCCCACTGCCAGCCCAAAAGCATGTCATTGAGTCGACTAATTGGGGAGCTTTCCTTGAGTGCATCTGCCAGAGAGGGGAGGAACCAACAGTCATACACATTGGTCAGATATGTAAAAGGCCTATACCGGCAACACTTAGGTTCTGAAACAGGACTAGATCTCACCAGAACTTTCCACAAGATTTTATAGCTGGTTAATGAGAAGGAGAAGAATAACAGGCTAAGAAGACATTGCAGCCTCTATCCTATGGCGGTGATTTGAAATGTTGAGTTTGTTTTGTTTTGCTTTCATGCAGGTTTTGACGCTCCCAGGAGAGAAGCATGAAGTGACTGCTATCGCAAGAAGTCCCAAAACAAATTTCATGGCTGTTGGTTATGCAGACGGAAGCATCAAGTTATTTGACTTGGAAACCTGCCAGTCTGATGTGACTTTTCAAGGTCATAAGTCAGCTATAACTTGCCTGGCTTATGATGCTTCTGGTCTTAGACTGGTTTCTGGGTCCAAGGTGAGTATTCTTGAAGAGGTGGCTGTATGATAGTATTTAATTGCAGAAGCTTTTATGTCTAAATCACCTCTAATTACTGGCAAGTTAGGGTCAGTATACTGCAATGGTGAGGGCATATAAAGAGAATGGTAGACAACAAGAATAGACCCACTGTCTCTTTAACGAGCATGTTGTAAGAGTTGACTCATTGGGGTCGGAGGAGGGGGTGAGGGTTTCCTTAGAAGCCGGAGTGCATCTGCCTGAGAGGTTGAGAAACCAGCAGACTTGATACAAATATGTCATATGTATAAAACGGATGTGTATATAGCACTCAGGTTCAGGAATAAGATTAAAGTCCCGAGGTGGACGAACAACCAGAACTTTCTGCCGGAACCTGAAGCTTATCACATAGTAAAATGTCAGTGGTTGTATTGATTGACCAACACATCTTTATGTAAAACATACCTTTCTAATGTGATATTATTGCTAGAGCAACATCCTGTGATGTACCACTGACATGAAAATTGTACTTGACTTTGTTGGAAATGTAGCATGTTTCAATTGTTGTTTCAGGACACAGATGTAATATTATGGGATGTTGTGAGTGAGTCTGGTGTGTTTCGGCTGAAGGGTCATAAAAAGGAAATCACACAGGTGACTTTCTTAAACCAGAAGGATGTCATTGTTACCAGGTAGGTTCAGTGGCAAGTAGCTAATTGTCTTTGCACGTGTTGTTAATTAACTTCTGCTGCCCTTTTGCCCCCAGCAGAGCATAGGCCGTTAACCAACTCACACTAAGTCCTGTCTTTTGCTATTGTGTGCAGCTCACTCCATGTACTTCCCCATTCTCTTCTTCGTGTTTTTTATCAAAGCCCATCTTTATTCCTTTCACTCCATAGATTCCATTGCATGTACATTCTTGTTATCAGGTTTATTTTTTGTCAGCTTGTGTCCTATCCAACTCCAACACCTTTGTCTCTTGATTCACAGCAATCAATTAATTACCGGATTATAAAACACTGCCATATTTAATTGGTCTGCACTTTTAACCTGAGGCAGCGCCTGTAAGTTTTTTTTATAGTTTGTTACATTTTAAACAGGCCTAAACTAAGTACTAGATGATAACTTAAGAAGAAAAGGTCGCTGGTTTGATGTTGTCCACATTGCTCATAGATTTGTGATTGTTGGTTTTGTTTATTAATATGTAGTACTGGCGGCATATATTAGTACATTTCCGGATGATATTGTTATATTTTGCTATAGGGATGTGTGGAATCACCAGCGATGATGAGTGTGACTAACAAGACCTTCTAACTTAAATACAAGTCTTTCACAATCAGAGAACCGGATTTCAGGAGTATTGTTGCTATTGCATGTATTTAACAAGTCTATTGCATGAGAAAAGCAGCCAACCTTACCATCTGAGATTGACTAATGATACTATCAAATTGTGGATACGACACCTTGTGCTAGATTCATTGAGAAACAGCAGACTAAGTGGTTTAGACATCTCGTTAGAATGCAGCAAGATCAAATACCATCACAGGCATCAGTTCTCAGTAGATCAGTTACAAGAGCAAGAGGACAGCAGTGAATGTGGATCGACAAAATTTAAGACACCACACCTTCACGACATGACAATAGCTAGTGACCGCGCATCGTATACTGGATCATAAATTATTCTTCCCTATGACACTTAACATGGTTTATGATGGTGATAATTATCAGGAGCTTAGCCCACAACCTAAATGCAAAAGTGCGCTTTTTTCTTTTTTTCTGTTTCCTTTTTGACTCCCCCCCCCCCCCCCTTTCCCCTTCCCCTCCATGCAACATTCTGCTCCTATGAATCCACCTGAATATAATAAGACATTAATTTATTATTTTCTCAACACTGCTCCAACATTACATATATCAAGGTTTTTTCTCTCGTTTTGAAAATATATTGTTTTCTCAACACAGTTCCAAAGATACATACATCAAGTTCTGGGATTTAGGGACACAGCATTGCTTTTACACTGTTGTCGGGCACAGGTCGGAGGTGTATGGTTTTTTACTGCTGCGGAATGAGACCAGACTTGTGTCTGGGTCAGCAGACAGTGAGTTGCGTGTCTGGGACATTCACTATCTTGAAGATGAAGTAGGTATTGATTATCATGTTACTAAGGACATGGGAGGTGGGATCAGAATGTATCAGGGTGTGTGGGGTAGGGGTGAGACGTATCAGGGTGTGTAGTGTGGGAATGAATATAAGGGTTTGTGAGGTGAGGACAAAAAGTATCATGGCGTAAGAGATGTAGATAAAAGGTCGGAATGAGAAGTATCCGGGTATATAAAACGAGGATCAGGGCGTGTGAGGTGAGTATGAGTATTGGATGTGGGGACAAGAAGTATCAGGGTGTGGGTGAGATGTATGTGTGTATGGACTTCCACTTTTGTTGTCAAGCCGCACAGGGAGGAATAGCTTGTTATCCAATGCTGAATGGGATAACACTGGCTGTTGTCGTTCCTTGTTGATGGTATAATGTATTTAATGTCATCAGTCTAATTTTTTCTTGTGTGCCTCCTGCTATCACATCAGATTTTCAGATGCATCACCTGTAAATGTTGGTAGTTGTGGCTGCATTAAAAGAGGATGACCAAACCATTTGATTTTCAGTGAATTTAGTGCATGCTGTTGTTTCCACTGTCTGTCTAATTGTATCATTTCTCACTCAGTCTCAGATAGTTAAATTGGGTGCTTTCCTCATGCTTCTCATCTCACTATTTAATTATGTGTCTGGCTATACTCTATTTTCATTGACATTACATAATGATTCTTTGTTTTCTTCTTTTGTCCTGCTGCTAATGCCCTAAAACATCGTAGAGAGCAGTTAGATATGAATTTGTTTAATAGCCTATTTTATTTTTTCATTGTACTGTTTGCTATTCTATTTTAACAGTTTCTCTTAGTTTTTGGGATACCAGAAAAACATATCACACATTGTTTTATAACTAATTTAACTTTAAACGTGTGGCTTGGTTTAATCAATGGGTCAACACCATGGCACAAGGCTAGTACCCATAAGTGCTCTGTTCTACTGTTAACTCAAGCCTGAGTCTGAAGAATCTCAGCGCAATGCACAAACTTTGTAGCACTGGCGAGGATCCACAATTTTTGTTCTGGCAGCACCACGAGTTTTTTTTAGTTTCCAACTGCTAAAGGATTTATTTATGTTGGCAACAGTACACACGGGGGTCCGATCTTACCACCCAAAGATCAGGGGAAATTACTAGAAGTCCAGGTGAAAAAAATTCCAGCATTCACCGGGGCCTGAACTCGAGACCGCCCAGTCCTTTAACTAATTTAACTGTCCTGTGGTACTGAAAAAGTTACAGTAGTTTTCAGTCACTTCTATGGTTTTTTGGTTAACGTTTGGCTTCTTTTACAGGTTGAGACAGCAACAGAGGAACTGCCAGCCAAGCGACGAAAGCTGGAAACAGATAAAGACATCAGTGATGTCAATCTTGGTGAGAGTGATGATGAAAAAGACGAGGAAGAAAAGGCAGCAGATGAAGCCATGGTATGAATTGTTTCTAATTAGAGCACTCTGTCATTGAATAGAATAATTCATTGTCTTCCAGTTCACCCACCCCTCTCGCCTACCCATGTCTCAATGTGTTAACATATTTATGACCCAGTGCATCTAGGAAGTCTTTATGGCATGGCCTAGTACATCTGGGAGGTCTCTATTGCATGATCCAGTGCATCTAGGAAGTCTTTATGGCATGGCCCAGTACATCTGGGAGGTCTTTATGGTAAAATGGATTCTCTGCTTTGCTCTCTACATGGCTATGTGATTTAAAAATCTGTGAACTAGTTTTCACAATACGATTTGGTATGGTTTATACAATGGATCAACATCATGCACAAGGGTAGTAACCCATAAGTGCTCCATTCTACTTCTAATTCAAGCCTGAGTCCGAAGAATCTCGGCGCAGTGCACGAACCCTGTAGCACTTGCAAGGATCCTGAAATACTTTGAGTAGATTTTTAACTCCAAATTTTGACTAGGCGCTGTTAGGCTACTCTTTTCAGTTTTCTAACTGAAAAGGGATTTTTTTTAAGGTGAGCAACAATAAACACCGGCATCCGATCTTACTACAGAGATAGGGGGAAACTTCTAGAAGTCCATATGAAATTTAAAAAATCTCAGCCTTCTCATCGTTTACCATGGCTCACTTCCGGTGGTAGGCTGTTGAGAAAAAGACATTCTCGTAGCTTCCACCATTGCACTATAGCTGGGGCCCCTACAACAGCCACTTACAGGACTGGAATGTTTATTTATGACAAGTCACTTGACACACACGGGGCTGTTGTATGGATGAAAGGCAGCACAGTATCAACAGATATCATGTTTTCTGCAGCAAACTGATTTTGTATGAAGTCCTGTTTAACATATGGAGCACTGAAATACTCTTGGAAATATAGCACCGGTTTCTGTTTCCTTATCAAACTTGACAGTCTCTGGAACATTCTCATTTTCTGTCATCACCACAGCTACTGTTGAATTCTTAGGTTGATATACAATTCTTTCTGCCTTAACTATCTTCATCTGAGGGCTTTCTATTTTCAGGTGTTCGTCAATTTTTTGATTAGACCATTTTGGGTTTTTCTGGCTGCTTAGCCTCTCTTTATTGTTGCTTCTTTGTGGCATATATAGGCCATAACGCTTGGCAATTTTCTTGAAGTTTGTCATTTATATCAGTAAAAACCGTTGGTTCTCTTATAATGTACTTGATGAAATATGTAAGACTCACTTTCTGGAGTTGCCTTTGTTGAGGAGATCTGGTACTGCAATGGCGACCATCGTAATTGAGAATTTTGTTGATGAAGAATTGTCAAATTGGATACTGTATGCAAAGCCGCGCACCACAGAGTTATCTGCCTATCTAGAAACTGTCTCTGCTGAGTCGTCTGATTGGTCAGAAGTCAAAACCACCAAGTCGTCTGATTTGTCAGCTAGCGGATAGCACCTGCTCAAATGCATCCTTATCTGTGTGACGATGAACCTTTTTTTAAAAAATGACCTTGGTTCCTGGGTTGGGGCCGCCTTAAATGGGTACCAGGTAAAGTCCTGAGAAGCCAAGGTGTTTGGCGTGATGCTGACCACATCACTCACTGAATACAGATTGGTCTATAAAATATAGATCTAGTCTTGTATGCTCAATATACCTGAAGGCATGGAAGAGGGTCCTCTACTTTTTCTTATAGTCCACACCATTTTCTCTGTCTTCCTCTGCCTCATGTCCCCTCCAACTTTTCCATCACAGTGTACTCAAGAATATACTACTACTGCTCATTCCGGATGATTTTTTTTTAAATTTTGATGTTTGTATTTTATTTCAACATATAATGAGTTTATTTTTAGGTCAGAAGACTGTTTATGTTTAATGTCATATTATTTTTGTTTTCAGCGAATTTTAACCTGCAAAAAGGTTGGTTCAGTGATGAGGCAAGGCAGAGACAGATTGGTTACTCTATGCACAGACCCCGACCAGAGGCTTTTGCTGTGTCACGTAAGTTAGGCTGTGAAAACAGATCTGGTGCTTATTGAATTAATACAAGGATGATTTGAAAAATAATGCTTCCAAGGACATAACTTTTTGTTAATAGCACCCAGGGGCAAGTGACCCGGATGTGAAAATATTATATGAGTGACTTTCAGGAGAAAGTGTAACGTGTGTGGAAGGTGACATACATGGAAAATATTGGTTGAAATAACAAGCTGTTATTAAATTTTTAATGTGGTTGTCATTACTGGCTGGAAGTGGACAAGAACTGTCAAATGCAACTGTTCGGCCTTGTCGGACCTACATGATCAGACTTGCAGCTGACAACTGATCGCAGCACCAGGTTTGCCTTGCAGCTGACAACTGATCGCAGCACCAGGTTTGCATCAAACAAAAAGATGTTGCCATTTTACATGGGATTTAGATTGTGCGTGTACATCACAATATTCATCTCATGTTCTGGTATAGGTAATGAAACAGCAAGTGTGTCAAGAACACCTGGCTCATTTTGAAGGGGAAGACGATGCTTTATATGCCAAATTATTACTAGTAATGAGTCATGGTTACATCATTTTGACCCTTAAAGCAGGCAACAGTCTGTAATATGGGCATAAGAACTCATCTACGCAAAAAAAAAGTCGACTGCTGCGGCGGCAGCAAAGGTTTTGATGACTATTGTCTGGAACTTTCAGGTTGGAATCCTTGCAAATTGTCTAAGCACAATAATACTGTCAACTCTGATCAACATGTGGAAACGTAGCAAAAATGTCTAGCTTGGTTGCTATATGTTTGTTCTGGCAAACATACAGTTCTTGAACATTACAAAGCTTTCCCCCCCCCCCCCCCCCCCCCTCTCCCCCACAAGCAGACAGAAAAAGACGTTAGAGTGTCTCAACTTTGATAACATTTTAGCGCATCCAGCATATACTCTCATTTTAGTACCTTGTGTTTTTTTTTCCTGTTTCCAATGCTTAAGAAGATATGATTTTTGACGAAGATGTGCGTTCCAGATGTGAAAAATCGTCCAATTGTTTCTTTCAACCATATGTGGCAACTTGTTTTCGCCGCTGGTGGGAGTGTGTATTATGTTGTGGTGACTGAAATACAATTACATCTTAATTAAAGGACATCCCAAGCTTTTGAAAAATGTATGCTCCATGTGTATATTATGTATATTAACAGAGTTATATCTTTGGAGGCATTATATTTCAAAGCTCTCTGGTATATCGTTAGCACCACACCAGAGTTAGTAATTCTGTTTTGACAATTTTCACTTGAGTGAATTTTCAGGGCTATTGTTGTTAATTTTACATTATACCAGAGGCACACATGTGAATTCCTTCTCCAGCTGGTTCAAACTGAATTATTACTTGGGGGGCGGGGGGAAGAATATACCCAGTGCCCATCTCCCAACAAGCATATTGTGGTAGACTAATATGGAGTGCTTCCTTCGAAGTGGCTGTGCATCTGCTGCCATAAGCTTGGAACCATGACTAATATTCTTATCTGCTTCAGTGCTACCACTGCTGATAATCAGTGCCTTTTTTGGTGGTAGGCCGTATCGGCTGGTACCGACATCGTTTTTTTCCTAGGAAAAAATACCTTGCCAGGGAGATGGGGTACCAACAGTTTGTGGTAAAACAGATGTGCACGCATAACTACATTTATGTAACAAGACTTTAGTACAGAGGTGGACGGAAAACCACCATATTTTTTCAGGGCTTACAGCTGATAAATGGAAAAAAGAAATGTATTACTTTTCACGTAACATCATGATTTTCATTTGCCTCCACAATCTGATTTCGTATCTCAACAAATCCCAGTCCTTTTGTTCTAGGCCACTTCTTTGATGTTAGTTGCTTTGCTAATTTATCTTACATGTTACTTTTTACTACAGGGTACAGATAAACATCTTGAAGTCTTTCAGCTTCCTTCATCAGATGATCTCAACAAGTTGAAAGCCAAACGAATTAAAAAGCTGAGAAAAAAGCATTTGTAAGTTCAGATTTGTTTTTATTTGTAATTTTTTTTTCTTTTTCTTCATAACCAAATGGATCACAGGCTGCAGCAAATTTGGTATCTGGTACTGGCACAGATGTGAGACCTAAAGGTTTGTTATTTTGATAGTTGTTCAGGTTTCTGTCTTTTTTAAGTTGCAGGAGTTTGTTCTCAGCTCCATCCATATGAGAAATCTTCTCACATGAAGTAATACTATTTTCTTACAAGGGGTAAGTAGCCCACTTTTCTGCCTGCCTTGTCTATCAGATCTGAAGCACTGGTAGCCTCTTACTTTAAAGATCTGATCTGCTTGCAAATGCATCTCCTGGATACAGCACACACTGACATGCTTCTCATACAGGATGTTCTAGTTCCATCTTTTTGCTGTAGCCAGCCTGCTTACTGCTGACACCCTCTCTAGTCCAGTGTATTATGACAAAATGCAGTTTGGGATTATCAGTCACTATCCTCCGCTGTCTCCTGACTTCACAAGACGGTCTAGGAGGTCCTCCAGTACCTGGGTTTTAATTCTGTCAAGGCTCAGAACCCGACACTGCACCTGCCTCGTATGACTCCACAGAGTGAGCACCAAATTAAAAATAATCTGACAGTGTAATCATATATATATATAGTGTGGATTTTGATCTGCTCTGGCCCAGTATTTCTGACTTTAAGATCTCTTAAGTAGACTCGTCATTCCGCCTTTACCTCATATGTTGTCCCACCCACTTTCCCACTAGAGGTTGATATCCCAGCCTTCCACTGGATTGCTGGGATGAACAGGGTCCACCACATAAAGGTGAGGTGGGCTTGAGCGAGAGAGGCTAACAGACATTAAGAGTCTTGTATTGCATGGATTATTTGCATGCAGGCTGTTGGTACCTTGCATTTTAGGCAGATGCACTGCAACTTTAAAGGAAACACCCCTAATCAATCTCCTACTATGACATGATTGTTATTTGAGCCTATTATTTTTTCTCTTTAAAAAGTTTTTTTTTTTTGGCTATTAAACAGAGATTCTGGACAGGATGTCGACACTGCCAGTGTACAGCTGAAGCTAGAAGATGAAATCAAGTTCATGGAGAGGTTCAAATTCTCTGCCAAGTTGTGGTCCTTGCATTGCTGTCTGGATTCTGCCAAACAGCTGCGGGTAAGGATCCTGTGAGTGTCTGTGTTGAAGGGGGGTTTATAGAGTTTGCTGTAGCTTAGAGGCTGTTGGTGTTGTGTAGAAGATAGGACTGAAACTAGTCATGCAATTCATTAAAGAGCAATAGATGAGATGGTTTGGTCATCTTATGATTGCTGTGGTATTAATGGCCACAGACACCAAGCTGAAGAAATATACTGAACACAGAACAAGGGACAGACCAGGCAAAACATGGTTGTACAACTTTAACAGCTAATGTCTTTCATTTAAAGAAATGTATTAAAGAAATGAAGCTCAACTTGTACAATGCATTAGAAAGGCCACACAGAAGATCCTTACATCTCTCACAACTCCCAGTTTGGGCCCCAATGTGGGGACAACAAAAATAGACCCACTGCCTCCCCAACAAGCATGTCATAGGTGTCGACAAATTGGGGACATCCTTTAAAGAAATGAGAGAGCAGATGAGTTGGCAAAAGCTGGGAGTAATCTTCCACAACCTCATCCACCACACAGCTACAGGGAAACCAAAACAGCGCTAAAACAGTCTTTTAAGTGGGAGTGGAGAAGGCAGAATGGAGATTATAGACCAGAGTGACAGCATAAACAAACTCATCAGGAAAGAACAAACATCAATTTTTAGACTTTGGACTGGACATTGTGGTCTTCAGGCACACTTGTACAGGATAGGCATAAAAGAATCTGCTGCCTGTGATTGTTGAGCAGAAAGACAGACCCCTGAGCACATACTGCAGTACTGCCCTAACCTTTCCCAGCAAAGACTGGATCTGGCCCAATTGAGACACATTGCAAGAAAAGCTATGGGGGACCTGTGGCGACCTTAAACGCACATTCCTATTTGTGACCCAGACAGGACTCAATGTTTAGCATGACTGATGTCGAACGCAGAAGAAGAAAAAGAAGGGGACAGACATCCATTAAAGTCGAAGTACATCCGCCTGAGAGTCAAAGAACCATACGCCTGCATACAAATAAGCCAGACTCGTGAAACGAATATACACGCAACTCTCAGGTTCTGGAGCAAGACCTAAGTTCGGAGGTGGAGAAAGACCCAGAACTTTCCGCCGGAGTTTACGGCCAGTGAATGTGAAGAAGAAGAAGAAGAACATCTCTAACATTTCACTGAGGTAACTTTAGGAAGTGAGTAAAATTGTTTGAGGAGATCATATTATGTTTTCTTTGATGTTTAAACAGGTAATATATGCCATTTGCACTGCGGAAACAGTTTTTTGTTGTTGGCATTGTAAGAACAGAAGGTTTGTTTTGCGTGCATTGTTTAAATAGACTGGTTATACTGTCTGTATTGTTGAAACAGGCTGTTTGTGTTGCACATATTGTTAAATCAAGCAGTTTATTTGTCAACATTGTTGACACTGTGTTGTCTGCATCCTTGAAACAACTGTCTGTGAATATTACCCTACATTTTACGTGGGGATCTTTGTTCTCTCCGACCCCCCCCCCCCCCCCCCCCCCCCCACCCCCACAATTTTATGTTTTACTCTCAAGTTATTAAGGTCTGTAGATTTTACATTCCTTCGACTCGCCTTTGTGTTGTTTGACTATCAGTATTTCTTTCAGTTGTGCAGTCTCATAATTTTGTGTATTTTCTCTGTAATTGATTTATATTCTCCTCCACAATGTATATTTCCTCTAATGATATCAAGGAACGATAGAAAACTAAACGAAAAGTTTATCAGCAAGCTTTACAGTGTAACAAACAAAACGTAAAGGTTGCTGCTATGGAGCCTTCATCAGTATGTACATAAATTAGACAATACTACACAAATACACAATATCACTTATCTTCATATCTCTCACCCAGGTCGATATTTAGCCAATATATGTACCCCTCTAATGATGTATATTATTCCCTCTAATGATGTACATTATTCCCTCTAATGATGTATATTATTCCCTCTAACAATGTACATTATTTCAACTTATCTTCTTTCTTCTTCTTGGCGGAAGGTTCTGGTTGCTCGTCCATTACTGAACTGCAGTCCTGCTCCAGAACCTGAGTATTGCGTGTGCATCAGTTTTACAGATCTCATTCTCTTGAAAACAGACTGTTGGTTCCTTGCCTCTCTGGCAGATGCTTTCCGACTTCAAAGGAAGCTTCCCAATTAGTCAACTCTTACGACATGCTTTTGGGGAGGCAGTGGGTCTATTCTTGTTTTCCCCACAATGGGGCCCGGAAGCCACACGGAGGATGTATATTATTCCCTCTAACGATGTACATTATTTCATTTAATAATGCATATTATTCCCTCTAACGATGTACATTATTTCATTTAATGATGTATATTATTCCTTCTAACGATGTACATTATTTCCCCTAACAATGTACATTATTCCCTCTAACGATGTATATATTTCATCTAATGATGTACATTATTCCCTCTAGCAATGTACATTATTCCCTCTAACGATGTACATTATTTCATCTAATGATGTACATTATTACCTCTAACAATGTACATTATTCCCTCTAACGATGTACATTATTCCCTCTAACGATGTATATTATTTCATCATAATTCATTATTCCTCTAATGATGTACATTATTACCTCTAACGATGTAAATTATTTCTAATGATGTATTATCTATGTTAATTCCCTCTGACGATGTTAATCAGATGTATATTATGTCCTCCTCCTCAGTTTTGTGCTCTGCTGTCAGACAACAAAATTGAGACTGGCCTACTCACCCTGGACAAGCAGAAGTGTACCCTAGGACCTGTAATATGTTTATCCCAGGCTGGACACAGGACAGATGTCCGGACATTGAGTTTCAGCTCAGATAATACAACAATATTGTCTGCAAGCTCAGAGGAGGTCAAGTTGTGGAACAGGTATGATAACCTTTTTCATTTTAAGAAACACAACAGAGCAAATGTGTTGTTAATTTAATGGCAAAACAATTTCCTAAAAAGGATACCAGAGCTGACCACAAAAATTCTTGTACAGTAGCACTGCATAAAAGATCATCATCAAGTGCCTTGCCAGCTGATGGAAGCATTCCTGCTCTCCACACCATCTTGCCAAACTATCCAGCAAATTCTTGCTTCTTCTTCTTGTTCCTCTCATTCTCTCCCGCTTTCTCATACTTCCAGTGTTATTAATTTGAAACAGCTTTAAAGAATGTGAAAACCACATCTCTAAACTCTGGCACAAAATTCTGAAAATTCGCTGTTTTTGGACTCTAGTCATGTTCCAAAACCTGAGTTTTGCATGAGCATCTGTTTTACAGACTTTGCTTATTTGTAGGTTCCATGCATCTTGGGCAGATACACTCCAACTTCAAAGAAAACCTTTAATTAGTCGACTCTTGGGACATTTTGGTTAGGGAGGCAGAGGGTTTACCCTCCCCACTCCTACAACCTCCACAATGCCTCCTTTTCCCCATCCCTTGAACTCCACAGGGAACATGTTAATTGTTATTAATTATATATATATATATATATTGACATTCTTGAATTAACAGGGATTCCCTGCAATGTGTCCAGACATTTGCTTGTGACTACGCTCTCTGCTCCATGTTTGTGAGTGGGGATAGACACGCTCTTATTGGAACTAAGGTATGTGTCTCAGTGGTGATTGTCTAGTTCTTGTTTGGGTAAACAGCATGTTTTTTTATGATAAATCCTAGTGTGAAATTATAGACACCCAATAGCTGCAGAGATCTTTGACTGACATTTTAATTAACATATTGCCATCTGATAGGATTGAGATAATGATTTCCTGCCCAGTGTGGACCAAAGGTTATTGTGTAACCGCCAGGTGCCACAGTATAACTGTTATTATGTTGAACAGAGTTTCTAGGATTTGTACCTATCTGATTCTGATTTCCTAAGATGTTAATCCTTTAGACTGTCATTCTTGAGAGAAAAATGACAAATAACAAACTGATAGCTGTAGTGACATATGAAAGTTGGCATGTGAACATTAATTAAAGGGTTGACATATGAGAGTTGACATGGAAGTTAATGAGAGAATTAACATATGAAAGTTAATGAGATGCCCTGTGATTATTTAGAAGTGGTTTTTGTAACTTTGCAATAGACGAAACTATGTGACAGATGTCCCAATTTTTGTCACCTTTTTTGCATCAATTTTTTTTAATTTGCGGGTAAATATACTCTTATGCAGTCCCAAATTACAGGGTACTGTCCAAAAACATCATTTCAACCAAAGACCATAAAATTCAGAAAAATGGCTTTCTTGTGGTGAGAGGGTTAAAAGTAGTTTTTGTGAAAAATTTTGCAGGTAGATATACTCATGTCTGCAGTGTCTATGTTTGTTTACGTTTATGGTAATTGACGGATCAACATCGTGGCACACAGGTATATCCCATAAATGCTCCGTTCTTCTTCTCACTCAGGATTGAGTCTAAAGAATCTCAGTGCAGTGCACAAACTCTGTTTCTCAAATACTTTGTGTAGATTTTTAACTTCAAAATTTGCCCGGGCAGCGCCGTTAGGCTACTCTTTTCAATTTCCAACCACCTAGGGATTTTCTACGTGCGCAACAATACTGGTCTTATTACCCGGAGACCGGGGAAAAATTACTAGAAATCCACATGAAAAAGTCCCAGCCCTCACCGGGGCTTGAACCTGGGACCGCTAGCACTTGAGGCGGACACCATGCCTTGAGACCACGCAGCTCCCCTTTTCCATGTCTAAACACTACAGTTGCAGCCAGCACCAAAACTGTCATACAGACTGACCGGGAACTTCATGTCAACCAAAATCCATAAATGCTAGAGAAATGGTTTTTTAGGGTGAGGTTATTGAGAACAGTTGTGATTATTGCCCTGCTATTTTATGTTTTGTTTTGTTTCCACAGTCTGGGAAGATTCAGCTGTTTGATCTGAACCAGGGACTGCTACTGCAATCCTTCGAGGGCCACAGTGGAGCTGTGTGGTCAGTGGCCCCAATGCCCGATAAAGTGAGTTGTTGACTAACTAATCGTGTAATTTAAGGGAAACATGTTTGAACATATTGTTGGCACTGGGCCAGATCACACAACAGCATTTTTAGGTCTATTATTTGTCACTTTATAAACATGTCAAAGGCACACATGTGAATTCCTACTCCTCCAAATATTTCAAAATGAAATATTATTTTTCATTCAACTACACAATATGTTGTCTGAGATTTCATTGTTTAGACATGATTTCTTCAAGTCTACAAACACTTGCAACACTCATCAACTGGATGAATGGATGGCAGGTGATAGCTTCAGCAATGAACCTCAAAGGCTCAAAATGTTGAAGACTATCATCTTTAGAAAACACATACAATAAACAAAAAATATTGTAGGGAAACCAAACAGTACAAAAGTGAAAATGGCACCAAAATAACTAATTATCGTGTTCAAATAGTATGTACACAAATGAAACTAAATATGGTTAAATGACAAAATGGTGTGAAGTACATGACACTTGCCTTGACTGTTCCAGATTTTATGAAGAAAAGCACTGAAACAACTATCTCTGTTTAGGCCCCACAGTGAACAGGAGGGCATTAAAAAAAATGCTGTCTGATTCCTCTAAGAGAGTTTAATATTTTTTTGTTTTCTGATTGAAATCTCAGCAGTAGATGTGTTTTCTGTTTTCAGCGAGGTTTTATCTCTGGTGGAGCAGACCATGATGTCAAGTTTTGGAATTATGAACTGTCCACAGACAAGAACCGGGAGACTAAACAGTGAGTATGGCAGGTCACTTTTGATTAGCCTACCCTTTCAGCCGTAGCTCTTTGTGTCTACAGAAGAAGGGAACAGAGCAAATCTGAGAATGTCCTGTAGAGACAGAGCAAATCTGGGAATATCCTGAGTGAAAAAGTGTTTTTGACTCATTCATTCATTCATACTATATCATCTCTAGCCTATTGAAGTAGGGGATTAGCAACAAAAAAGTCCTGGGTGCAGGGATTTCATTGTTTAATTAATTCATTCAATCATCCATTCTGTCAATCATTTGCCACTCCCATCCCTGACACACATCTATGATGTTTAATTTAGTTATTAAACCGCCATGCGCGCGTTTGCCCCCCCCCCCCTCCCCCCCCAGTATTTGTGGTTATCTGCCTGGTGGTATCTTATGGTAGTAAGTGCACATTCTAAAAATAGCAGTCCAAGTTAAATCCCTAAAAATAAAACTCTTCCCCCTCCCCCCAATGAGTGTGAATCTGGGTTGGCTCAAATCTTTAAAGCTGATTCCACATAATTGTCTGTTGTGTTTGAGGGCCAAGAGTTAGGAGGGAAATTCTTAAAGTTCACCAGCTTTAAACTCTGGCAGAAAGTTCTGTTTGTTTTGTGCACCTCTGAACTTTGGTCTTATTCTAGAACTTGGGTTTTGCTCGCACATCTGTTTTACAGATCGGGCTTATATGTATGCAGACTGTTGGTTCCTCACCTTTCAGGCTTATACTCTGTGACTTTGAAGGAAACATCCTTAATTTTATGACTTGCTTGGTGAAGAGCAGTGAGTCTTTTCAATTTTCTCCAAAATCGGCCCCAGAACCAACATGGGTTTTAAAGGCCCCACAACAAAGCAATTCACTGATTGTTGCCTATACAAACACTCACATGAATAAGTATGTAAATTAGCAATAAAATAAATAAAAAACATTTGTTAGTGCCTCCAACATAATGTGTTGTGGATTAAAAACATTTAATTATGTACAGTATAGATTAGTTGAATTTGCCTAGAAAAACCACACAACAACCAGGAGGGCTGTTGGGGTTGGTTCTGCAACTAACCTATAGATTAATCAGAACTGTTCTTCTTCTTAGCATTCACTGGATGTAAACTAATCATATAAAAAATCTAGGTTGTTCAAACACTTCTGGGCTTTGGCCTTGTTTCAGTTCTCAAGTGTGCAGTCTGTTGTTTCATTGCCTCTCAGACAGATCATTCTGACTTCAAAGGAGACATTGATCTTGTCTACATTTATCAGCCCTGATTGGGCCACCTGATTCTAGGAGAACTGCAGAGAGATGTAGATAGGTCTTGACTATTGTCAGCCTAGGTCCTGGTGCACCGTCATGCGTGGTTCAGCCCCTCTGAATCAGTACACATTTTTGCAAAATATAAATCAAGCCTTGGACTTGAAAAACAATAATTCCTTGTGTAGGTTCTGGAGCCCCATTGTGGGGAAAACAAAAATAAGACCTTCTGCTTACCCAAAAGTATGTCATAAGAGTTGACTAATTGGGAGCTTCCATCAAAGTCCTGCCTGAGAGGCAAGGAACCAATAGTCTGCATGCATTATAGTCAGACCTGTGAAACAGATGTGCACACAACTTAGTTTCTGGAGCAGGGCTAGAGTCCAGGAGTGGACAAACAACTTTCCGCTGGAGTTTACAATCGATGTACATAAAGAAGAGGTAGAAAAAGAAGAACACAAATCTTGGGTGGGAAAAAAAAATGCTGCTTGTTTTGTAAATCATACTGATAGAGATAACAGCTGTATAGAATAGCATGGGGTCTTTGTGCTCTTAGGACCACCAGGCAACTGCCCAGCAAGCTTTTTTGCATTATACCAAGAGCTTGGCCTACTGACACATTACAAAAGTTAGTATTTTTTGTGGATGCAAAACTCAAGTACTGGGCCAAGACTAAAGTGCAGAAGTGGACAAACAACCAGAACTTGCCGCCAGAGTTTACAGCCAGTGAACGCCAAGAAGATTATTTATTACCGAATTATTCTAATTATTGTTGTATTTCTTTTGTTCTGCATAGAAAAGTTCTCACATTGGAACACACTAGAACTTTGAAAATGGACGAGGATGTATTGTGCGTCAAGTTCACGTAAGTTTTCATAAACATTATACCCATTAAAACCAATTGGGTATAGACTTTCAGTCAGTTCACCCTAGCTCTCCTATTCTCTGCTTTTGCAGTTTCCTGTTTCTGCTCCTCATAATATTCATCTATCTCATTCTCTTGTCTGTGAATTTTTATGTCTCTTTTTTCTTTTCTGTGTGTGTTCATAGAAAGAACTTTCTCATTTTACTAATAATAGATTTTCTCGCTGTTTCTTCTATTAGACACCTGCATCTATTTTTCCCCATTAATTGATATTTATCTGTAATTGATTGACATATGTGAAGTCATTTTTGGGGTCTGTTTGGTCTGTGTTTGTTTAATTTAATGAATTTTTATAAAAATTTTGAAATTGTTTTAGTCCTCCTGTTGCCAATCCATACAGCAGTATCATAGTTAAGACTGATTCTAATTTTAATTTATTATGTCTTGAGTAATGTTCACCAAGGAAAATCTGGTTTTTATTTAAAAAGTATAGGACCCGTTTCCACGTCTTTAGGCTTATAGGGCATGCCGGCCACCTTTACCTCCCGAGACTGCACCCTGTTTTTATTTGCCTAATTTATTCTCATTACTTTGATCTCTCCCTAATGAACTTTGTTTGATCTCCCATCATATGTTTTTAATTTATCTTGCATCTGATTTTATTTTTGTGATGGGAAGGCACAACCATTTTACATGCACATCTAGTTTACAGGTCTGGTTTATTTGTAAGCAGACTGTTGGTTCCTTGCCTCTCAGGCAGATGCACTGCCGCTTCAAAGCAAACCTCCTAATTTGTCGACTTTTATGACCTGGTTAGATAGGCGGTGGCTATAACCGAGGACCTGCAACCAACTGAAGGAATTGGTTATTCAGCACAAAATAGGACAAGGAAGCTTGGTGGAAACAAGAAAGACACACAGAGAGAACAAAATATTTTCACCTGTCTTTTTTTTCTTTGGAGTGTGATCAGCAGAAATTCTAAACCACAACGGTGAATGCTACAAACGGATAAGAAATGAAAGAAAAGGCACAGGAAGAACTGCAACACCAAACCTGAACAAAGGATTCTTTTAAAAAGTGGGCAGTATACTTCTTTACAGCTTCTGTCCCCTAGATGTTTAGTTAACTACAATCACTAGGTATTTAATGTTTGTCCATATAAAGCTCTGACTATTCTTTCCAGGCCTGACCACAGACTGCTGGCAGTTTCTCTCCTGGACAACACGGTTAAAGTCTTTTTTGTTGATACTCTAAAGGTAAGCAGTCACCTTGTTCATGGGTTCTCAGGGGTATTATTTTAGAGAATACCCCTCCTTTAGTGAATACCATTCACTTTGAGAAGACACCTCGTTTAGAGAATATGCATAAGTTAGGAAGTATGCTTCAGAATACCCCTCATTTAAAGAATTACCGCTCATTTATACTATCCCTCATTAGAAAATGCCCTATCATTTAGAAAATGTCCTCTTGTTTAGAAAATACACTTTCATTTAGAGAATACGATTTCATTTAGAGACTACCACTCATTTAGAGACTACCACTCATTTAGAGACTACCACTCATTTAGAGACTATCTCTCATTTAGAGACTATCCTTCATTTAGAGACTATCCTTCATTTAGAGACTATCCTTCATTTAGAGACTATCCTTCATTTAGAGACTATCCTTCATTTAGAGAATAACCCCTCATTTACAGAATGCCCTCTCATTTAAAGACTATCCCTTATTTAGAGAATGCCCTCTCATTTAGAAAGTACCTGTACATTTCAAGAACTTGCTTTCAAAATACCCTTCCTTTAGTGAATACTTTGAGAAGACCCCTCATTTAGAGAATATGCATAAGTTAGGAAGTATGCTTTAGAGACTATCCTTCATTTAGAGAATACCCCATCATTTACAGAATGCCCTCTCATTTAGAAAATACCCATACATTTCAAGAACGTCCTTTCATTTAGAGAATGTCCCTCATTTAGAGAATGTCCCTCATTTAGAGAATACCCCTCATTTAGAGAACACCCCTCATTTAGAGAACACCCTCTCATTTTTAGAGAATACCCTCTCATTTTTAGAGAATACCCTCACATTTTTAGAGAATACCCCCTCATTTAGAGACTATCCCTCATTTAGAGAATGTCCTCTCATTTAGAGTAATACCCTCTCATTTACAGAATAAATCTCATTTACAGAATAACCCTCATTTAGAGAATATTCCTCATTTAGAGAATACCCTCATTTAGAGAATATCCCTCATTTATAGAATACCCTCTCATTTAGAAAATACTCGTACAGTTAGAGAATACCCCTCCAGAGAATATAATTACTTACTGAATACCATGGTTTTTAAAATACCCTTCTTGAGAGTTTTTAGATATTAATCTAGCCATTTTGCATGTCATGTGGTGATTTATGTGGGGAATAACTTTAGGTCCCTTGTATATTTAACTATAATTCAGATTCAGAGAGGAGATGGTGAGAAATTAGCAGGCATAGGTATTGGTGTATGAAAGCCTGTGAAACATGGGGCACACACAATGTGGTGAACACAAGGGAAGCCAGATGAAATAGTAAAGTAAAGAATCCTTTACCATGCTTTTAGGTATATAGTGCTAGTCCTGTATAGACCAGTCAGCACTCTGTAAGTGATTTTATCATCATGTTGGCCACTTTTACTTCCCAGGACCTTACCTGGTACCTGTTTAAAGCTGGGTTGACCTGGGGGACTTCCCCGTGTGGGTTCCGGGGCCCCATTGTGGGGAAAACAAGAATAGATCCACTGCCTCCCCAAAAGCATGTCGTAAGAGTCGACTAATTGGGAGCTTTCTTTGAAGTCTGAGTGCATCTGCCTGAGAGGCAAGGAACCAACAGTCTGCATTCAAGAAGAATAGTTACACTGGCATATAACTGGTTATGTACTAAAGGATACATTGAAGAGGGAAGCTGAGCTCTTCTTGGTTGAATGGCTGGCTTGTTTGTAGTGAGGTTGATCTGTTGAAAGCACAGAACCTCAACCAACTCATGACAGCCATCCTGTCTTTTGTTATTTCTTGCAGTCCCCTTTGTATGTCCTCCATATATAATTCATCTCTGTTTCAAATTGTCTTCCTAATGTAATTGTAGATCTCTCTCTCTCTCTCCCCCTTTCATCTTGAATTTTCCAGTACAGGGGTTCTAGTCTTCTGACTTCTACTACGGTATCAAGATGTGTGCAAGCGAGACATGGATGATACAGTTATTGAGGTGGACTCATGGGAACAAAATGCCATGGATCGTGTTGTATAGAGGGCACATCAGGAAGCGAATGAGGGTGAAGGAAGAAATGATTGCAGAAAAGATTAGAGCTGAGCATCTGAGAAAAAACAGATTAAACACAAATGTTGACAACAATGGTCCTGAAATCCCATGCTGGTACTTGGTGTTGGTAAAAAAAAACAAAAAAAATTTGCCCTTCTTTCAACCAGCTCCTAGTTTGAGCAGTGGTTAGTCACACTCATCATCGCTGTGGGCTGTGAGTCTCATGCCTCCTCGTAGCGCAATATAACACTATCGTGTGAAAAGACGGAAAGGTGCCAGTCAATCAATCAGTCCTCTTCTGCTCTAGTACTATTCTACCTCTCAGGATCAGGTTTCGAAGAAGTATCAGATAGGTGCCACATAGATTAAGGCATTCACAGCCTCAGCTATTCCATCTATCCATAGCTTATGTGGTTGACCTCTGGGATTGCTTCCATTATGTCCAAATGACAGGGCACTCTGTAATGCACTGTCTACTTGTAGTGTTGACATGTGTCCAGATCATTGGATTTATTGTCTCTTCATGTAGTCTAACACTAGTTCTGTCTAAACTTCTTTCCTGATATCGTCATTTCTTACCCTGTCTCTTCTAGTTCAACTACTGTAAGATATTTGTCCTTTAGAGTACCAGCATAATTTTCTCACTTATTGATTCACCTGAATTTTTTGTTATCATTTTTTTTCCCCCTCTGAGAATCAACACTATCTAATTCCCTCTGTTCTGCACAGCTATCTGTGTTTGTAGTAAAAAATAATTGTGATAGTCATCCATGTTTCTTCTCCATACAACAGTAGTGATTTTACACTACTGTTGAGCGGCGGGGGAATTTATAGGCACCAATGTTATTCTATTCCTCAGCTTCACAGTAGCGATTAGGTCATATCATTTGATTTCGTCTTCTTCACATTCTCTGGCTGTAAAAGCTAGTGAAAATGTTCTGTTCTGTCAACCTCCGGACTTTAGTCTTGTTCCAGAGCATGAATGTTGTGTGCACATCCATTTCACAGATGTGGCTTATTTGTATGCAGACTCCAAGCAGATGCAGTCAGACTTTGAAAGATGCCCTGAATTAGTAGACTCCAACAGCATGCTCGTTGAAAGGCAGTGGGTCTGTTCTCATAATGGGACCTCAGAACCCACATGGAGTATATCATTTGATATAAAACACAGTAACATTAATACCATACTTTCTCATGTGCCCAGTTTTTCCTGTCCTTGTATGGCCATAAACTGCCAGTCACCTGCATGGACATCTCATCTGACAGCAGCTTGATTGTCACCGGCTCCGCTGACAGAAATATCAAAATCTGGGGTCTGGATTTTGGTGATTGCCACAAGTCCATCTTTGCCCATGATGAAAGGTAATGCCAGGTGTGCTGTGTGGTCACAACAGTTAGTGATTAATGATGTAAAATCAGGTGTTCAGTTGCATCTGAGATACCTCAATAGTTAAGTAAGGTAACAATAGGTATACAGTTTAGTTTTTATGGAGTATTTATATTATTATTATTATATGTCAGTTGATCCAGGAAACATTAATATGGCTACTGCATTGGAGGACATAGAAAGAGTGGGTTGGACTGATGTGTTAGGACAAATAACAATAAATTTGTGTTAATAATTGTATGCTAGATCAGTGAACACTTGAGAAACATCATCTCTATGACTTTTGCTTCCAATTTATTAAATTTTCTCAACTTTGCTGTTCAACCCATTTCATTAATAAATCAACTGGTCTGAAGCAATTCAGTGTGCCTACCTTTGTCACAGCAGATGGAAGATGTATTCAGGAAGTTAAATGTAGAATAGTGTTAGCAAATGCTGTATTTCACAGGTTGAATATAACCAAATGCTGTTGACAGCAAAAGCAGGTCAAACGTGAGCAGCCTTTAATTTTTTTTTCAACACGGAGTACAGAATGTTATGAAACATAGGAAATAAGCAGACAAGGTGAGGGTCATTTGATGGCAGCAGAAATGGGATTTCTGGGTGAAATGCAAAAAATACCATAGATGGGCAGTATGTTTAAATTTCTGCTGCGTGGCGCGGTAATCTAGGTCACAGGCGTGAGGGAAAGTTAAGTCTGATGTCATGTGTATAAGGAGATACTCCGTACCTCACTAGGGCACCAGTCCTTAACTGTTCTGGTTTTATGGAACCTCATGCACGACTCCTGCTGCACTTCCCGTCGTGCGCCACGGATAATGTCTCAAAGGAGCATTAACAGAGTTGGCAGGGGATCTCGGAGCTGGCGGCCCCCAGAGGTGTAGTGTCTTTTCTGGTCCTCATCAGCCTGCCCCAAACGCGTGGGAGAAAAGTCTATCAAAACTCATTCGGTACATGAGTAAAGTCTGCTTAGTAAATGTACCACTAAATGACAACTCTCGGTTAAAATTATGGAGCGAATGGAAAACTGTGCTGCTGAGACTCAACCCTTGACCAAGAGATTTACCCGCAGCCAAGACGAGTAACATCTCTTGTGGGTGGTTTCTCGCAGTCAGATCCTACCTACGTAAAATCCTCTGTCAATCCTCAGCCTCGTCGTCACCGTGCTGAGGTACACAAAATCTTTCATCTGCTGGCTAGGTAAAATGTCCAACAAAGTCAGATCCTATGGCACACAAGCAAGCTTAAAGTCCGATCATCATAACTCTTACCGATTAGAAAAAAGTCCAAATGTCCGTATACACTAGCCCCACTCGCCCGATTGTTGGGACCAAACAGGTGAAGCATGCGTCCCCATACTGCTGTGCTAAGGGCACAGTTGAAACAACGTTAAAGGTGTCTAACGTGCAATGAAGAAGAATGAACCTATATGTGTGGTCACTAAGTCCAGAACCCACAGGCTGCTCCCCGCTGATCTCCAGAGAGCGTAGCCCGTGTCGAGCGGGAAGCCTAATACGGTTGTGGGGTTAAGCAGATTCCTTGGGTGAGCCCAGAACCAGAGCGTTATGTATCGGCTCTGCTTTTATGGAAGCCTCCTTGGATGGCGGGGAATGCCCATGATCTGCCCCTGCCTTCCCCTGAGGGCTAACCGTTTCACACAGGGCTGCCCCACAACACCTGTGGAGAAAGGGACAAAGAGTCAACACACACATACGGTAACATCTCGACCCACACAAAGCAATGGCCACAGTCATCCTAGAAATAGGATTGACGTCTTATCTCGAAGTCGGAGTACATCTGCCCGTGAGGTAGGAACGACAAAAGCCAGTAAAACAGTTGTACACACAAAACTCAGGTCCTGGTAAAAGCCAAAAGTTCAAGCGGACGATTAACCCAGACCTTCCGCCGGAATACAAGCCGGTAAACGAAGAAGAAGAAGAACTTCTGCTGCCTTTGGGAATAAGTGAACAGTGTAAAGGCACAAATGGATCATCACAGTCTGAAGAGAATGTTACAGCCGATGGTGACCAGGGGACTCAACACTCGGGAAAGAGGCAGGATAATCAGGGGACTCAACACTCGGGGAAGACCCAGGATGACCAGGGGACTCAACACTCGGGGAAAAGGCAGGATGATCAGGGGACTCAACACTCGGGGAAGAGGCAGGATGATCAGGGGACTCAACACTCGGGGAAGAGGCAGGATGATCAGGGGACTCAACACTCGGGGAAGAGGCAGGATGATCAGGGGACTCAACACTCGGGGAAGAGGCAGGATGATCAGGGGAGTCAACACTCGGGGAAGAGGCAGGATGACCAGGGGAGTCAACACTCGGGGAAGAGGCAGGATGACCAAGGGACTCAACACTCGGGGAAGAGGCAGGATGACCAGGGGAGTCAACACTCGGGGAAGAGGCAGGATGATCAGGGGAGTCAACACTCGGGGAAGAGGCAGGATGACCAGGGGAGTCAACACTCGGGGAAGAGGCAGGATGACCAAGGGACTCAACACTCGGGGAAGAGGCAGGATGACCAGGGGAGTCAACACTCGGGGAAGAGGCAGGATGATCAGGGGACTCAACACTCGGGGAAGAGGCAGGATGATCAGGGGACTCAACACTCTGGGAAGAGGCAGGATGATCAGGGGAAACAAAACCCAGGGGAAAGACAGGACGATCAGGGGACCCAAAACCCAGGGGATAGGCAATATGATTAGGGGACTCAACATTCAGGGAAGAGGCAGGATGATCGGGGACTCAACATTCAGGGAAGAGGCAGGATGATCAGGGGATGTAACATTTAGGGAAAGGCAGGATGATCAGGGGATGCAACCCTCAGGGGAGAGGCTGGATGATCAGAGGACACAACACTCAGGGGAGAGGCAGGATAATCAGGGGACTCACACATTCAGGGGAGAGGCAGGATGATCAAGGGACTCAACATTCAGGGGAAAGGCTGGTTGATCAGAGGACGCAACACTCAGGGGAGAGGCTGGATGATCAGAGGACGCAACATTCAGGGGAGAGGCGGGATGATCAGTGGACGCAACATTCAGGGGAGAGGCAGGATAATCAGGGGAGAGGCAGGATGATCAGGGAACTCAACACTCAGGGGAGAGGCAGGATAATCAGGGGATTCAACATTCAGGGGAGAGGCAGGATGATCAGAGGACACAACATTCAGGGGAGAGGCGGGATGATCAGAGGACGCAACATTCAGGGGAGAGGCTGGATGATCAGAGGACGCAACATTCAGGGGAGAGGCGGGATGATCAGAGGACGCAACATTCAGGGGAGAGGCTGGATGATCAGAGGACGCAACATTCAGGGGAGAGGCGGGATGATCAGGGGACGCAACACTCAATGGGAGAGGTGGGATGATCAGGGGAGAGGCTGGATGATCAGAGGAGTCAACACTCAGGGAAGAGGCTGGATGATCAGGGGAGTCAACACTCGGGGAGTGCCAAATTATACAGTTATTTTCCAGTTGTTGTTAGTATAAATATTATTTTGTTTTGAAATCGCTTTTCAGTGTGACATGCATTGAGTTTGTGCCCAAGACGCATTTGTTCTTCTCCGGAGGCAAAGACAGAAAAATCAAGCAGTGGGATGCAGACAACTTTGAAAACATCATCACATTGGAGGTAAAACATTGTAACTTAGAACACTGTGTATAAATTACAAGGGGATTGTTCAAGTCTTGTTTAGTTTGAACTAGAGAACTTGGTCACGACTGGCAAGATTAGTGGGGGGGGGGGGGGGATGAGCACCATCCTCGCCATGGGCTGTGATCTTCCATTTTCTTTAGCACAGTATAATATTGTCATCTGGAAAGACAGAAAGATGCCAACAACAACAATAGTTATGGATCACACAGTAAATTTTGTGTAAACTGAAACAGGTAACATATTGTATCAGCAACTGAACTATACAGTAAAATTTGGTGGAGTTCCACTTCAGTGTGGTGGATAGGCTAGCAGATTTAGTTCGGGCAAATTATTTGCTTCTAGTTATGGTTGGCCGTTGCATTCCCCCCTCCCCACATATGTGGATATAAAGTACATAGTTTCATCGCCCAGCTATTGAGTGGAGCACATGGCATGACACCATAAGCTGCAGATTTTATTTGTAATGCATTTTAACTGCCCAAGGTGATTTGTGTTGTGAACAGCAGTTAAAAACAAAACGGCGAGTGGCTTGTTGCCACAAAACTGGTGGTACAAAAAAAAGGGGGGGGGGGGGATGAATGACATGTACAACTGTCACTTTATTGTAACTGCTGCTTCCATCAACGATGAACTGCAATTCTAGTGGGGGACTGTTTGTGTTGGGACTTCTGACGGCTGCCTAATGCATAGGTATGCTATTAGCTTTGTCAAGACTGTAGTCTGTCTGTTTTTTCTTCAAGGACAGTGATGGACATTTGGTGTGGTTTTTGTTGGCACATGAACAGAGTAGCTCTGGAGGGACTTGTTTCTGTGATCTGATAAAACCTAATGTAACATGATAAAAACTTTGCACTTCTTTCTAGGGGCATCACGGGGAGGTTCGAACCCTGTCTGTTAGCCCTACTGGTGGCACAGTGGTCAGTGCTGCCCACGACAAGTCACTGCGCCTGTGGGAGAAGACAGAGGAGCCATTGGTGCTGGAGGAGGAGAAGGAGGTGGAGAGAGAGAAAGAGGAGATGGAGTCACTTTTGAAAGAAGGAGAGGAAATTGTGAGTAGTAATATCATGAATACAGTATATTTTTAATTTACCTTTTTCTAAGTGCATTTTCTTCTTTTCCTCCTTAACCATTTGGAGCGTTGAGGGAGATACAATTTTCTGTTTCTTGCTCTTCTCAGTTCTTAAACTGTACACACATTGTAATGTTGATGCTTGTGTTCCTCTTGTTTTTATTCTTCAGCCGTTAGTTCTGATTTAATTATCATTTGCATATTGGGATTATAATTTGCTCATTGACATTCTGGTTTGCATGACCTTTTGTTTGAATTTGCACATTGACATTGTGGAATGCATAATAACATTCTGATTTGTATATTATATATTAACATTTTTATTTGTATATTACCATTCTGATTTGTATATTAACATTCTGATTTGTATATTAACATTCTGATTTGTATATTAACATTCTGATTTGTATATTAACATTCTGATTTGTATATTAACATTTGATTTGTATATTAACATTCTGATTTGTATATTAACATTCTGATTTGTATATTAACATTCTGATTTGTATATTAACATTCTGATTTGTATATTAACATTCTGATTTGTATATTAACATTCTGATTTGTATATTAACATTCTGATTTGTATATTAACATTCTGATTTGTATATTAACATTCTGATTTGTATATTAACATTCTGATTTGTATATTAACATTCTGATTTGTAATTAACATTCTGATTTGTATATTAACATTCTGATTTTATATTAACATTCTGATTTGTATATTAACTTCTGATTTGTATATATTAACATTCTGATTTGTATATTAAACATTCTGATTTGTATATTAACATTCTGATTTGTATATTAACATTCTGATTTGTATATTAACATTCTGATTTGTATATTAACATTCTGATTTGTATATTACATTCTGATTTGTATATTAACATTCTGATTTGTATATTAACATTCTGATTTGTATATTAACATTCTGATTTGTATATTAACATTCTGATTTGTATATTAACATTCTGATTTTGTATATTAACATTCTGATTTGTATATTAACATTCTGATTTTGTATATTAACATTCTGATTTGTATATTAACATTCTGATTTGTATATTAACATTCTGATTTGTATATTAACATTCTGATTTGTATATTAACATTCTGATTTGTATATTAACATTCTGATTTGTATATTAACATTCTGATTTGTATATTAACATTCTGATTTGATGATGATTTTCTAATTTGTATATTGACATTTTGATTTGCATAGTAGGGCCATGTGCAGCAGTGGAAAATAGCGAATTTAGGTTAGGTTGACTTGAAAAAGTTCATTTTTACACACCTGAATATATCTGCTGTCAGATTTAGCTTTTTTTTTGTGTGTGTGTGTGTCTAAAACATGTTATTTTAATGCAATATCAATCTTTTACTGAGTTTTTTATTAAATGAAAATTGTTACGAAATTGACTACTTTTTCCGACTTAGGAACGCCATTTGCAGAAGGAGATAACTGTATGTATTATGTACCCTTTTAAACATTATTTTGTCTTCTGCATTGTTCGTCAGGTTTCTGGATTACAACCTTATTCATTAGCATAAGGTACGAGCTGTTCCCGCTGGCTGAAACTGATCACATGGGTATACGATTCTCAAAGATGGCCAGAATTTATATTGAGTTGGCGTTTAAATTAAAAGTGCCTTGTTCCAAAAAATGTAAACTCCACTTAGCTTATATTTGGACATTCTGATTTGCATTGTGACTTTCTGCAGGTGCCTGGAGAAACTTCAGAGGAAGTGAAAATGGCCGGAAAGAAAAACATTGAAACAGTCAAGGGGGTAAGCAATTGTTTGAAGGTTGTAGTTTGTGAGGAGGGACATCAAATAAATGTTAAGATTTGTTAACAGAAAAATGCATCTGTAAAGTTATCATGTTGTTTAGAGTAGTAATATTGTTTAGAGTGGTGTAGTTATCATGTTATTGAGTAGTAAAGTTATCATATGGTTAAGAGTAGTAGAGTTATCTAGCTTAGTAGAGTTATCATGTTTTTTAGAGTAGTAGAATAGTTTTTTAGAGTTAACATGTTGTGTATATTAGTAGAGTCAGTCATATTGTTTAGAGTAGTAGAGTTATGTTGTTTAGAATAGTAGAATTATCATGATGTTTAGAGTAGTCGTTATCTTGATTTTTAGAATAGTTGAATTATCATGTTGTTTAGAATAGTAGAATTATCAAGTTGTTTAGAGTAGTAGAATTATCATGTTGTTTAGAGTAGTCGTTATCTTGATTTTTAGAATAGTTGAATTATCATGTTGTTTAGAATAGTAGAATTATCATGTTGTTTAGAGTAGTAGAATTATCATGTTGTTTAGAGTAGTAGAGTTATGTTGTTTAGAATAGTAGAATTATCATATTGTTTAGAGTAGTCGTTATCTTGATTTTTAGAATAGTTGAATTATCATGTTGTTTAGAATAGTAGAATTATCATGTTGTTTAGAATAGTTGAATTATCATTAGTTAGTTAGTTAGTTAGTTAGTTGGGTTATCATCATTGCACTCCGGACATGTCCATAGGTGCTCAGATCCTCCCCTCAGTATGAATCCCAACATCCGATGGCTAATAGTACCAGTTCTATGTTGATTAACAAATCTTCTGACGTGTCCGGTGTATGTCTCGTTTTTTGCTGTGCCGATCTTAATTCCCAAGTCTGCCATTCTGGCGAGTGATGTGGATTCACTGCCACCAAAGTCCTCTATCCTTCCCATTTCTCTGAGGGCATTGATAATATCAGCATGATCCATAGGCCGACCGTCGGTAGTTGATAGCGGATCCAGCCCAGCCTGTCAGCTCTTTCATTTCCATCGACGCCTGCGTGTCCCGGAACAAAAAGAAAGGTGACTCCTCGCACAGTGGACTTCTGAATTGATTCAAGCCATTGTCTTCGCACTGAACCTGCCTGAACCCTCCGGATCATACTCATTTGAATCACTGTTGAATGCGGGTGTAGTTTTTGTGTTTCAAGCCAGGCAAACGCTTGCGTCACTGCCATCACCTCCATCGTCATGCTGCTGGTTGTCATGGAGAAGGCGCCGTTGCTTCTTTGACTGTTCTGCCCGCTGAGCGTGCTGTAATGCCCATGCGCTTCTTCTTTGGCGTATACGGATCCGTCTGTATAGATTAGTGCATCTGCTTCGTCTGAATTTTCACCGAATGAGAGCGTTGACCTCTGCATTAACCAGCAACAGAATTCTCTTCTCTACATCGCCTGTTTGAGTGTGACAATACAGGAAAATGTACAAATAAACGCCTGAGCACAGGTATCCATTCTGCACCAGGTATGATGTCGGTTAGGCTGCATATTTGCCCTAATAACATCTTCTGCCCGACCTAGCCAACGATTTTCCTCCTCTTCATTCTGTCGCCCTTTTCACTAAAAAGCGCTTGATGCAGTGGGTGTTTCTTATCAGCACATATTTTTGAGGTATGCCCGAGCCCTCCACATCCTGATCCTTTGGTTCATTGTTGGAAAGTCAAGTAGATACCTCATTGCTCCACAGGATGTGTCTCTTGTACATCCCAAAATAATACGCATGGCTTTCATTTTTGCACCTTCTTCGAGTCGTTCAATCTGGGTAGCACTGACAGTGAGGATGGCCAGAGCGTATTCAATGGGGGAAAGGACCAGACCGTAGAATAGAAGCACCAGCGAGTCTTTGCTCGATATTGGAAGCAGCCATAATCCTCATTGCAGATAGACCTTTGCGGTGCTTTTGTTATCGCATGGTCAACGTGTTCCCTGAATGACAAGCTGCGATCGAACCTCACCCCGAGAAACGTCATAACGTTGGTTCTGATCAATACATTATCACGCATTTTCACTTCTGGTAAGTCCGACTTGACAATGTGATTGTTCAAAGAGAACCATGACACTGCTGCCTTCGAGGGATTGACATAGGCATTGGAACCATCACACCAGGCGGCAATTCGATCGAGTTCTTTGTGCATTGTGCTGGCGATCTCCTGTCTATCACGCCCTCGTCGATATCGTCGAAGTTGAATTATCATGTTGTTTAGAATAGTTGAATTATCATGTTGTTTAGAATAGTAGAATTATCATGTTGTTTAGAATAGTAGAATTATCATGTTGTTTAGAATAGTTGAATTATCATGTTGTTTAGAATAGTTGAATTATCATGTTGTTTAGAATAGTTGAATTATCATGTTGTTTAGAATAGTTGAATTATCATGTTGTTTAGAATAGTGGAATTATTATGTTGTTTAGAATAGTTGAATTATCATGTTGTTTAGAGTAGACGAGTTATCATGTTGTTTAGAGTAGTAGAAGTTATGTTGTTTAAAATAGTAGAGTTATTGTGTTATTTATAGTAGTAGAATAGGATAGTAAAGTTATCGGGTTGTTTTAGCAGTAGAGTTATGTTGTTTAGAGTAGTAGAGTTGTCATGTTGTTTAAAGTAGTAGTTAAGCTAGTAGAGTTATGTTGTTCAGTGAGTTTGATGAAATAATACTTTGTTCCACGTAGACTGAGCGCATCATGGAGGCCCTAGAGATTTATGAAAGTGAGGTGGAGAAACTGAAGCTTTCCAAGAGTAGCCAGGTAAATTCAGTGTTTCACTGCCATCTTCATTTATAATAACTCCTTCAGTCGCAGGGGATTTAGCATTAGAGGACCAAGGGGTGGTAATTCAGTTTTTATGTGAAATCTTAAAAGTATGACATATTAAAACACACCATACTAAGTCAGCTGCATCGCCACATTCACATATCTTACATCAAAGTGACCAGGGATTGTTGAGGAATAATATTAGAATATTGCTACAGCAAGTAATTATGTTAGTCATTAAATAATAGAAAATAAAAGAGGCAACATTTTGAAGAAATTGTTAAAATGAAATAATAATTTTTGCATTAACCATTTTGGCGCTCAAGGAAAATTCAATAAAAATATAGCCATAATTAATTTTTTCAGTTTTCACTCATGCTCACAAGCTGTAAACTCTGGCAGAAAGTTCTGGTTGTTCATCCACTTCTGGACTGCAGTCCTATTCCAGAACCTGAGTGTTGTGTGTGCATCCTTTTTACAGATCTGACTCATTTGTATATAGACCGCTGGTTCTTTGCCTCTCTGGCAGATGCACTCCGACTTCGAAGGTAGCTCCCAATTAGTCGACTCTTATGACGTGCTTTTGGATAGGAAGTGGGTCTATTCTTGTTTTCCCAATAACAGGGCTCTGGAACCCACATGGGAAATTGCTATAATCAATCACAAAAGAACATGAACCACCTAGTAATCTAGGGAAAAAATATAAGCAGTCTGTAATTAGATCTTTTTCCAGAGAAATGTTTGGAACATCAGAGAGCACCATTATTTTGTAAAGAAAAATGACTTTCCAAAGCAGTATCTCACACAAAACGAATTTTATTCAACATTCAAATTGCCCTTAATGTTGTAGCTGTATTCCAAATATATAAGGAATAGCACTAAAACTAATTGACAGTTTTTTTTAAATTTATTATCTGGGTGCCAGCTGATTTTTATTGTACGCCTTGCACAAGGAACTTATTAGAACTATCTGGAAAGAGCACTCACAGTTCTGGATTGATGTTTTTAAACTCCCCTGTGGTAAATTTTAAAAAAAGACGTATTATTGGCCTAGGTAGGAACCTGTGAGTGTATGATGTGTTCTTAGGGACCGAAGGAATTAACTTGACATCATCATCATCCAGTTGTATTCCTCAGTTTAATTCTAATCCATGCTTTTGTGTTTTTTCCTCTTGATATTCATAATATGCATATTATCATAGGAATATAACATGCTTATTGATAAAAATACACCTACAGTGTGAAAGTCGGGTGTTTGGAAAGGCCGCATGTAAGACGGGCCTGCTTGCCCAATTTGTGACCCTTTGAAAATAAAGTTTGTTTGTTCGTTCTATCTATCCTGAGCACTTTCATTAACTTTTAAAATTTACATGGAACTAGCTTTATGATAATCCTAGACAACTAGTAAAGAAACCAACAACATTGCTTCAGCCTTCCAAGATGTGATTTTACACAGGAATTTCTTTGGCAACATGAGTCAACTGCGTGCGTTTTCTCTTATGTATTGGAAACTACACAGACCCAACTCTCACTCCCCAATTAATCCACCTCTTAATGGTGGATGCTATGTATCCGTTGATCACCAGAGACCCTTCGCCATGTTCACCCTATCAGAAAGTAGCTCACCACCCAGGGTACAGCAACAACCTGTCTTTCAGCTTGCTCATTACCCTGCACACCAGAATATCCTGGGCAGAAAATAAATGACATGCTCCTGATTGGGGTAGACTATAATTTAAAAAAAAAAAAAAAAGTACTGAAGAGTTGTGGTGTTGGCAATAGTAGCAGAGCAACAGCAGAACTGTGTGGAGTCAACAGAATGTATATCTTGCCTACAGAACTGTGAACCTTTCCATTTCAGGGAGCATCCTACACACCTCATCCTATGATGGCCGCATACAAGAGTGCAACACCAACTGATTTCGTTTTAGAGACTCTTCGGAAGATCAGAGCTAGGTAATGTGATCTATTTACGAGATGCATAGTTAATGCTGTTAAATGTTTTTGCACCAGAACAAACATTTAGACGGTCAAGATATTAATAGGTTAACTAAAAATAGCATTCAAGGGTTGTTGCCATTTAAGGTTAAAAAAAATTTAACAACCTTTTTTTTAAAGAGTATGTTGACGTCAAATTTCCCCAATAAACTTCGTGATAGAGATCCCGGGGTCACGGCATAAGTCACTCGATACATTTTGGTGGTTTTTTTTAGCTCCGCAGAATATATTCCATTTAAGACTTCACCTGTTGTTTATTGATTACTCCCTTCAAATATTTTTTATATAATTGGAGAAGGAAGGGGGATATAGATACATAAATTCTAAACAAATTTATTAGTTACCTGTATAAAATTGTTGGGATTTAACTTTGTGATATCAGCTTGAATGTAGTCACCCGTGTTTACAAAGAAGTAGGTAATATATTATGCACCACTTGGTGGTGAATTGATATATGACAAGCTAGATGTTGTGAGGGTTCTTTGGGGGTGCATGAACAGTGAGGAGGTAGATGTTGTGAGGGTTCTTTGGGGGTGCATGAACAGTGAGGAGCTAGATGTTGTGAGGGTTCTTTGGGGGTGCATGAACAGTGAGGAGCTAGATGTTGTGTGCATGAACAGTGAGGGGTTCTTGAGGGTTCTTTGGGGGTGCATGAACAGTGAGGAGGTAGATGTTTTGAGGGTTCTTTGGGGGTGCATGAACAGTGAGGAGCTAGATGTTGTGAGGGTTCTTTGGGGGTGCATGAACAGTGAGGAGCTAGATGTTGTGAGGGTTCTTTGGGGGTGCATGAACAGTGAGCTAGAGGTAAGGGTTCTTTGGGGGTGCATGAACAGTGAGGAGCTAGATGTTGTGAGGGTTCTTTGGGGGTGCATGAACAGTGAGGAGCTAGATGTTGTGAGGGTTCTTTGGGGGTGCATGAACAGTGAGGAGGTACAAAAAGATCATTACGGTCTGAGGAGAATGGCACTGCTGGGAGTTACCAGGGGATCTAGCTGACAATCAGCACTCGAGGGGAAGGAAAGACGGATATACAGTCAGACAGTTACTGGTACCATTGGAATTGGATCTCTTTGCTTGTTGCTGAAGATGGGGATGGAGCCCTTATGGGAGTGTCCATAGTGCTTTGATAATGATTCTTAACTCAACATCAAGGGTTTATGTATTAGTGTATTGTATGATTGTTTTCTGATGCAGTGAACTCAGTGGAGCTTTGTTGTCTCTGCCCTTCTCATACGTGACGCAGCTGCTACCCGTGCTGGATGCCTGTTTGTCTCATCGCAGAGAGACTGAGCTTGTCTCCAAGTGTCTCAATTTCCTCCTCAAGTAAGTGCCAGCACATTCTGGTTAATGTTATTTACATTTACTGATTGGGGAGTGAATGACAAGGAGATCACGGTCAAAATCTTCAGTAGGCCGTTGGTAGTTTTGAAGAAAAAAAATTATGTCCGGCAAAAGTAAACGTCTGATTCTTGGCAACTGCACTAGCCCAGCTGCCCTAAATCAAGATCCCCTTCCTACACTGCCCTGATAAATGGTAAATACAAGCTTTGAGCCTTTGCAGCATGCTTTGTGCAGAATGTATTGGTGTTACCTTTCTTTTGGTAAAAACAAGACTGGTTGATTGAGGGATCATGATTAATCGACATCACATGGCCTCTGCAATTCTGTCCAGGTTTTATGCTATGGAGAGGAGGAATTCCCCTACCTTCCCTTAGCATACTATAACACTTCTCTTCTGGAAAGACAGGAATGTGCCAACAGTAGGCAGTAAAGACATTTAGTGATTAATGAGGACTGTCAGAGCACTGAGAGCAGATCCATAGGTTCTTTGATCTTCTCAGTGGCTCCACAACCCCAAAACTCTCAGGTGGTCATTTCTAGCATTAGTCTCCCATAAGTTGTGGATTTTTCATTGTATGCTAGATAGGCTATCAAAATAATCACCACATATTGCAGCACATGTGAAATGATCTCCAGGCTGGTGTCAGTTACTGTAAATCTATTTTTATGGTTCACAAATCATTAGTCAAAGATCAAAGAAATTTGCTGCTTGAAAAAAAACAGCAGTAGCACCAGTGCGATTGTAAATTATAAAATTGTAAGGGACATGGGAAGTTTAAGGCCACTGCAAAAATTCTTGTTGATCTGTTCATGCATTTCTGAGATATTTGTTAAAGTGTGAAGGCATTACTTTTGAAACCCTCTGTAGTTAGGTTTGACTAATCCCCTGTGTTGATTGTTTGTTTTAGTATCCAGAAGCCATGAGTTGTTAACCCTTAGGCTCGGTATTATGGATATCGCAACCTTTCGGCCTTGATTCCACGATAAATACCGTAAATCTTGGATAAATATGGCTTTTCTGCCTACCCCCGGGAGTGAACCAGGACCACAAGGAGTTCGTCACCCGGTCACAGCGCAATCCGGTTAAGCCAACTACGCGAGAGAGCCAGGCCCCCTGTGTTGATTGATTAGATGTCTTGTGCCCTTAGTGATATGTCCATGTCTAATAGCTCCAGGTTTTAGCTTTGCATCCACCAGTTTAGACAGAAACAAAGTCAAGCTTACAGCCATAATGTTAACATTCTGTGCTTGTATGTAGACTTATTCTCACCTTGTGCCATGCAGATAACAAAGGCAGTCATGATTCACCATCTCACTTGTTGACCAGTCTCAGTAATTAATGGTGATATGGAATAACAGTGCAGTATTAAATAAATAACATCTGTTTTCTGAATTCCAGGATCCACCATGGGGAAATCACCTCCAACCATGTCCATCTGCCTGTAATTGAGAAACTGAAGGACCATTCTACAACAGCAGTTGAACATCACAGGGTACGAAGAAGAGTGTATCAACAATTTCTTAGAACATCAAACATTCACCATCTTAAAATGTACTGAACATGTATAAAAAATTTGAAGTGGCATCACCTTGAAATGTACCACACATTTCTTAAAGATGTCATCAAATGGAAAAACTACCATCTGTCACTGTAGGGACCGTTTCTCGGAAGATCAAGTTGTCAGTCTTAAGAAAATACTAAACATTTCTTAAAACATCAATTTGTCACCATCTTAGAATGCAGTGAACATTTTACCAGAACATTCAGTTGCCAGTCTTAAAAAATACTAAATATTTCTTAGAATGTCAGTTTGTCACCATCTTAGAATGCAGTGAACATTTCATGGAACATTCAGTTTCTTGTAACTTCAATTTGTCACCATCTTAGAATGTAGCTTCCCATGTAGATTTCTGGGCCTCATTGTGAGGAAAACCAGAATAGACCCACTGCCTCACCAACAAGCATGTCATGTCGTAACAATCGACTGACTGGGGACCTCCTTTAAAGTCTGGGCACATTTGCCAGAGATGCAAGGGACCAACAGTCTGCATACAAATAGGTCACAACTATAAAATGGGTGTGTATGCAACACTTATGTTTTAGAACATGAGGTGGGTGAACACTATAAAGAAGGTAGCGAACATTTCTCAGAACATCAAATTGCCAGTCTTAGAAAATCCACATATTTAGCAGAGCATCAAACTGTCAATGTCTTTATGCTTATTGTGTAACATGTGGTTGTATTTATTAGGAGGAATGTTCCCCCTCTCTTAGACGTGTTTATAACATATGGTAGCAGAAGTGAAATAAAAGTGAGATTAGGAAAGGCCAAAAATGAGAGAAAATCAATACATTTAGATTTAGAATTTCAGATGTTATGCAATTTTTTTTTTAAGTGCAGAATCCACACTAAAGGTTGGCTGTAATATATCCACTGCCAGCTGCAGAAATATGACAACGTAAAGCCCCAGTCTCTTGCACAGTGTGATAATTACACCACTGTCTGAAAGTTGTGGAAGATATCTTTTCCTAAACTGCCGATCACAGGAGTTGAACCCTAGTAAATGTTGAAAGTGTTATTCCACTAACCTCTGAGTTTGTGACATTTTCATTTACTTAATTTTTGATTCGGTCTCTATGGCAAAGTAATGAAACCGTTTGCAGCGCTATTCATCTGGCAGCCGGGGTTGGCCCGTGGATCATTTCCAGTTCTACTGCATTACTGATCATTATATCCTGAGCCTTTGGCCTGTGAGGATTGCCTTTTTCAAAATGTTAGCTCTGGAGTAAACTTATTTGAATAGACTTGCTCTAATGGTTGTGGGTTTGATTTTGGATTTCATTCTTTGGAGTGTAAATGTTTCAGAGACCCGTGGAAGGTCATTGTTTGAGCTAGAAAGTGCTTTGTGCAGTACTCTTGCAGGTGAGCAGCTACTCTGCAATAAAAAGATACACAATGAAGTTGATCCCCTGGCCTTAAAGCAGTTTTTTAAAAGCCATACAGATGGGAGGAATTTAAGATGGATAAGCAAGTGATACAAGTGGGAGGACAACAGCAGTCTGTGAGCATGTATAGCCAGGGCAAGATGCAGAAGTGTTGGAGCTCCATTGCAGTCAACCTCTGTGTTGATTAATTGAAGGAGGTATTTAAGCCATTTTCAGTTACTCGTCAAAATACTGGGAAATATACCAGACGGTAAGTAAATTGTGCAATCTGTTGTTTGAACCTTCTTCACTTCCTCTTAGACCACTGTGAGAGAAAGAGAGAGATTCTTGTTTTTTGTATTTCTGGCCACCTCAACCACAGATGAATTATATTCTCACAAGTTCCTCTAAACTTCCATTTGTGTTCTTGGTCTGCTTCCTTCTTTGGTGTATGCATCACAAGCATTCCTAAGTGATCAAACTGTTTGTTTGGCTGTCTTTGTAATTTTACTATTGAATCCTTGATCACTCTTTCTCTTTTGACTTCATTCCTGACTTAAAATTTTTTGGATACTGCTGCAGCCTTCTTAGACCGCTAACATTCATGGTCACTAAACTTCTTTGTTTAAACTTGCATAAGTGTTGATACAGGTGATACAGGGTATTTTTTTGTTGATTGCAGGACATCACCGCCTTCAACATGGCAGGACTGACCTTTCTGAGGAAGCTTGTGGAGGAGAACAACAGTGTGGTCATGTTTGCAGACGCCACCAGTAAACGCAAGAAGAAGAAAAGAGCCATGCTTGCTGTCAAATAAACCTCTTAGATATAAATACATATAAATTGTTTTTAAAAAAAAAGCAATAACATTATTAAAAAAACAAGGTATTGGGTGTTTTCGTGATATATTGGATATTATGCATTACATATATGCACTATTGTTCGCCGGTGTCCCTGTAATTTGTGTTGCTAACTACAGGCAAACCACACCCAAGAAAAAAATTCTGGTGCTAAAAAGTGCCACAAAACGGTGGTATGCCTTATGCAGTAATGTGTGCATCAGCTGCTTTCGTCAATGAGCTACAATTCTAGCTGGTGTTAACCTCTGGAAAAATAATGCCTTATGCATGTGCAGGCTGTTATATTGTGTGGTGCAGGCTGTTGGATTGTGTGGGACTTGCTGCCTGTCATAATTTTTCACATGGGACAGATATACATTTTTATGTGGGTTCCCACCCCCCACAGAAACAGACATTATGGGCTGACATGTGTTGTGAAATTAGAACTGCAACTGATAATCTGAACTGGAATGATTGACTAAAAAAGTGACCACAGAACCACCAGCTGCCCAGAATGATAACATTTAGAAGGAAAAAATATGTTATAAACAAAGTTTCATAATTCTATGATACAGGGTTTGATTCAGCTGAGTCACAGTTGGTAGCTGATTTCAACTGGGCATCAACTGTTCAAAAAGCAATGTGCAAACATTGAATTTAACATTGCCTAGGAAAACTACAAAAAAAGTTACTTTTGAAAACTGGTTTGTTTGGTTCTGTCTTGGGTATTCAACCAACAAAATAATCATAGAATTTACCCAATTTTGTTGTAAAATAATGAAAAATCGGGAACACAATTCTACCGGTGATCATTGTGTATTTTATTTTAAGACAAAGAGGAAACCAACACAAACAGCATACATGATCAACAAAGAAGACACATCCACACTAACAGCAGCAAGATTTTCATCAAGGGCCTTGCCATCTCTGGCATGGGTGACCACGCCCCTCCAACAGCTTGTGTACTGACATCCTTTCACGTCATAAACCCAAACCCAGGCTGTTGAAAATCTTCTCCTAGTCTCTCTCTATAAATCTGTCCCTCATGATTACATGTTTCAGGCAAAACCATCGATTATCTTTGAGACAACAAAATGAAGAAACACATGCACACACACACACACACACTAATAAAAGTAAATATTGTTTAAAAACACACATTCACAAAGCCATACTTACTCTTTAACATAAAGAGGACATATATATATATACACACACAAACTAAGCCATTCATTATCTTTAAGAAAATGAAGACATGTGCACTCGCACAAAGTCATACATTATCTTTAAGATAAAGAAATAGAAGACAAACTAGCAAATGTATTTAATTAAAAGCAAAGGGAAAACCACCCACACTAAGAAAATTATTATACATTATCTTTAAATGCAAGAAACACAACGGCATTCATTATTTTTAAGACAAGAAAGTCTCACATGCTAATTATCTTAAACAATAACGAAGAAAGATACACCCACACTAGCAAAGGCATACATTATCTTTAAGGCAGTAACTTCATGTAACATGCAGACATACAATATATTGTAACAACAAACATACACTGTACTATTATACACCGGGTCACAAACCGGATAAAGTGCAGCACAGCTATGGTAACATCAAGTGAAGTTATTGCCAATATGAAACAAATAATGAAAGCATTAGAGTGATATGAAACAGCAAGTCAACCATTTTCTCAATGTAAACAATAACATCTTTATTGTCGATCCTGTCCTTCCTTGCCCTTTTTTCACTCAAGTTTGTCATTTTAGCACCAAATGTTTGAATTTATGCCTTCTCATAACACAGACCCACCCATAGGGCAGCAGCAGGTTACCTGGTAAGCACATGATCATCATCATGTGCCTTGCCAGAAGCATATGATGCTTCCTAGTATAATTTAAAATGGTTGAACAGTGTTTGGAAATAAAATGTCTGAGAAGGAGTGATCAGATGATATCAAATCTGGGTTGAAGTTATAAGGGATTTGGGGGGGGGGGGTGTTAATTGCAGATCCAATTCTAAATTACATAAAAAGACAGCTAAAATGATCTACCTACATAAACAGAATGCCTTGTGATGCCATACCATACAAGGCGTTTGCTATTAGAGAAGAAAGATGTAGACCAAGCACACCATGGAAAGATGACACCAGAGCAACTCTACAACAGCACAGTGTGTCTATGGTCGAGGTGGAAAGAAAAGCAAAAAGCAGAATCTCATATCTACCTTAGCACTCCTAAGTGGTAAAAGAGGAAGTAAAGTACCGAGTTTCTGGGACTCCTTGAGTCAATAGTTGTCAATCTTTTAGACTAAAATCCCAGAGTTTAAAAAAAAAAATCTTGGCAAGTTCCAACAAATAAATGCATAACAATGTGCATTTTGTTAAATCTTTCAAAGAAAGTCAGAAATGAGTCAATATGTCATTCACAAAATATCTTTGAAATTCTGACTAAGAAAAGTAATTATCACAGAAGCTCTAGTTTTTTTTTTTTTTACTGCAGTACTATATACTAACCTAACAGCTAAAAAAATATCAGTGCTGTGCCTTATTTCCTGCACCAAAATTTTCTCCTAACCCGATTGTGTCCCATCCACAAATGTGATAGTGCGCTACCCACTAATGTGATCGCAACCAATCCACTAATTTGATAAAGTGCTGCAGCCTGAGATGAAAATAACCAAGATTTAGAGGGACTATCTGGTGCAGTGGCTAAGCTGTGTGCCTTAAGATCTAAAGTTCGTAGGTTTGGTTCAGGACTCAGCCCTTTAGTTTTGCAAGGACAAACCTTTATAAACCCCAATCACCCGTTTCATGATTACTGCATTTTCGTTCATGTCAGCGGTCAACAATAATTGATTTCAGATTTAAGAATTGATATTACACACCACACCAGGCATACCCATAAATGCTGTTTCTCGCAGCAAATATATTAAGGTGTATTTACTGACTGTTCCAGTAACATATGGGTTATAAACACATTGTACTATTCCTCTCATGCATCCTTTCTTACTGATGTTTCTTGAACCAGCATTTGTTCACAAATGGTCTTCAGAATGTCTGCATTATCCAATATAAGTGCTCCTACAGCTGTTGCTTTTGTAACCAACACATCAGCTCTCACCCACTCCAGTGTCTGCTGGACAGCAGGTCCAGATCAGTCACTATAATGTTGACATGCTAAAGCGACATCCACTCATGCCACATTTGGAACCTTCAGCAATACAGACTGAGAATCAGATACTTTGACAACAACAATTACAAAGCAATCAAAACGTCAGCTCATGCATTGCCTCGCACTCTAGCATTTCCCAGACAGTATATCCAGGTCTCCCAGACAGTATATGCAGGTCTCCCAGACAGTATATCCAGGTCTCCCAGACAGTATATGCAGGTCTCCCAGACAGTATATCCAGGTCTCCCAGACAGTATATCCAGGTCTCCCAGACAGTATATCCAGGTCTCCCAGACAGTATATGCAGGTGAGTCCCTATAATGTTGACAAGCTGAAGCTTTATATCCATTTGTTGCGTGCTGATTTGGGATAGAGTAATACTGTGTGAAGGGACAGAGTGGTATGATAGCACTTTCCGGGAGTTCAAGGGATTTGGGATAGAGTAATATTGTGTGAAGAGACAGAGTGGTATGATAGCACTTTCCGGGAGTTCAAGGGGAATAGTGTCAACATTGGCCTAAGTGGTGAGGGGGAGAGAATGTTGACCAGTGAAAATGTATCATCACGAACAAGGCATGCATGCCCGTGAAAGTAGATGTGTTGATTCACGGTGTGGGGGCTGATAAGCATGACTAATGAGATGCACAGAGAAAGTCTAAATTACATGACTTGTGTGATTCTTATGTAACATCAGCCACCCACATAAGCGTGATTCTCGAGAACGCCCACACGAGCATGCCTCTCGTGTAAAATCAGCCGCCCACATGGGTTCGGCAGGGATATATTGGGGCTGCGTAGACAGTCTGAGTCAGTGAGCTGTAGCCAGAGAGCTAAAGCACTGGGGAAGTGCGGGTGTAGTATACACCCAGCACGAGGGTACTGTACGTCAGTATCTCTCGAGTGAGAAGGAGTAAAGTGCAACTATCAAGCATCAAGGTCTGAGTAAGGGTTGTGGTACGGGACAAAGACAGAGTACCGTGCAACTATCAGGCATCAAGGTCTGAGAAAGGGTTGTGGTACTGGTTGAAGATATAGTCCTGCTGGCGAAGTAAGTCCAAGGGGACTGGATGGTTCAATAGTGACTGTTCTGGGTGACGGCACAAGGACACGTAGGATCACCACGGAAACAGAAAAATTGGGATGCCGACAAGAGTTGGGTGCTAGAGGGGACTTGTGTTAGAAGTCCTGTTGGTCATTGGAGTCCTTGGACAGGCTGACGTGCTGTGTGATTAAGAGAATGGGCAAGGGAAGTCCGTCTCCAGTCAGCCGTGGTTGTCTGCTGAAGTAATATCAAGGTCCAGTGGATAGGCGAGTTCGTCCTGTTCGGCTGTACAGCGAGCCCAGAGTTGTGGGAAGCTGTAGACCTTCGGAGCTGTAGTGGTCAGGGAGAGGACGCTACAAGTTGAGAAAAAAGTGAGGACAATATAGACTAGGTGCGAATGCCAATTAGAATCAATGTCTACGTCTCTGAACAAGCGGTTTTGTTGATGTGAGGGCTTGTGTGTACCCTATTGTGTTCTGTCGAATAAATCCAGTTTATGACGGAACTATTGTCGTCAAGTCCTGCTTCGAGAGTGAGGGAGCTAAACTTATATCTATAGACACTTGGAAGTGTGCTGATTAGTGTTTAACTCAGATAGCACACAACACCATTCCTGCAATAGCTGTCCACTTTGAACCTTCAGCAATACAGATTAAGAATCAGACATTATGATTCCAATAACAATTACAAAACAATAATGAAAGACAATATTCAGAAATTCATTTAAAACTTACAACTTGTAGATCGAAGCTTTGACTTCAGTAACCCAAACTATTATTTACAGATTTATATGTTAAATGGAAAATATAAATTTGTTAATGCCATCTCCACAAAAGAGGCTGGATGCAGTGAGTGTGTGCATCAACTGCAGCGTCTGGGAATATTAAGCGAGGCTCAGTCTCTTCCACAGCGCAACTCACATACCACTGGTTGAAAGGGAGAAGGTCTTTTAACTGAACCATCTGCCAAACTCTGCTAGGTCGAGGATAGTGAAACAAGTTCGGTTATCGTTAAGCAACAGAGTCGAATGTTGTGCACAACTGAAAAATCATAATGCCAAACAATGTTATTTATAAAACCTGAACCGCCGATCAAATGTTGATTTGTGAAAACTGTAAGCTACCAGTGAAAAATCATTTCTACTACCATATGAAAGAATTCTCCACACAACTGGTTTGTCATCATTAAAAAAAAATAAAAAAAGACATTATACTTCTCAACTAAGGTATTCTTCACACAAACTGATCACCATTAAATAAACTCATAATACTACCCAACTAAATAATTATCCACATATAACCAGTGGTCACCATTTAAAAACAAACAAACAAGATACCCAACTAAAGAATTATCCACATAACCGGCGATCACCATTAAATAAACTCATAATACTACCCAACTAAAGAATTATGCACATATAACCGGCGATCACCATTAAAAACAAACAAACAAGATACCCAACTAAAGAAATATCCACATAACCGGCGATCACCATTTAAAAAGAATCATGATACCACACTCAAAAAAAAAATTAGAATTCTCCAGGAAGGGGTGGCCATTAAACAAACCCAACTAGAGAGGGTTTCAAAAATAATGCCTTCGCACTTTAACAAATGTCTCAAAAATGCATGAACAGATCAACAAGAATTTTTGCAGCGGCCTTATATTTCCCATGCCCTTATGATTTTATAATTTACAATCGCACAGGTGCTGTTTTTTTCCCTTAGAGCAGCAAATTTCTTTGATCTTTGACAAATAACTTGTGCACCCAAAACAATAGAATTTACAGTAATTGACACATGCCTGGAGATCATTTGGGAATCATTTTACATGTGCAGCAATGTGTGCTGATTATTTTGATAGCCTATCTAGCATACAATGAAAAATACACAACTTATGGGAGACTAATGCTGGAGATGACCACCTGAGAGTGAGACACTTATGAAACACATGCAATATTCTCATTACTCAATAAACTGTAAGTGTACAGACTGTTTGCTTTGAATCAGTGTCAGTGTTTTTTTAAAAACCGCAAATAAAGCAAAATGAAAACCAAATTTCAGCAACTTACACTGAACGGTTACTGAATTTTAAAGTTAGACACGACATCTGAAATGGATCATAAAGCTTTTTCCACATAACCGGATGGTCACCATTTAACAAAGCCACAATACATCGCAACTAAAGCTTTGTCTTCATAACTGGTTGATCACAATTAAATAAAACCATGATACTACTCAACTAAAGCTTTGTCTACATAACCAGCTGCTCACCAGGGAATTCTTGTATATCCTCCCCTACTAATTTTGTTTGACAGTAGCAGGAGGTAGCATCTAGCTGATCACCTGTCAGCTCAAAAGTCTTTAGTTCAAATCTGTATCCAGGCTTATTTTTTCCAAAAATGACCTTGGTGCACAAGTCAACCCAGTCTAAAATGAGTACCAGGTAGAGTCCTGGGAAGTAAAGGTGGCTGGCATGATGTTAACAACAGAAACCCTCAAGTGCTGATATGCCACGGCCATGAACAGAGTCCCTTAATTATTTCTATTCATATACCAAAGAACAGAAGGAAAGAGAGAAACAACAGATAGAAAGAAATTCAGGTGAACATAAAAGAAGGAATAATGGAAAGGAAAGAAATAAGAGAATTTAAAAAAAAAAACCATAAACTTTACCATCAAACTAAAGCTTTAACTTGTACAATGAAAAAAAACTTAATGATCTTTTTTGTCAGCGCATAACAACAATTAATTTACTTCTTCAAATATTTACATCAAATGCGAGAAACCGGTGCACAAATGAAAGTGTGCTGCAACTGTTACATGAGTGGATGTACAATATTTAACCATACAGATATACCCAGAGTGGGACACTGTTACATCAGTAGATGAAACAATTTGTATCCTAACAGACATCCCAAGTGTGGGTGGGTGTTTAATTGATGAAACAGTCAAACCCAGTTCTACATGTCAAGTGTTGGTGCAGAACACAAGCAGATTCACTCTCAGCCTCACATGAACAAATTCACTCTCAGCTTCACATGAGCAAATTCACCCTCAGTCTTACATGAACAAATTCACTCTCAGTCTCACATGAACAAATCCACTCTGCCTCACATGAACAAATTCACTTTGTCTCACATGAACAAATCCACTCTGTCTCACATGAACAAATCCACTCTGTCTCACATGAACAAATTCACTCTCAGTCTCACATGAACAAATTCACTCTCAGTCTCACATGAACAAATTCACTCTCAGTCTCACATGAACAAATCCACTCTCAGTCTCACATGAACAAATCCACTCTATCTCACATGAACAAATTCACTCTCAGTCTCACATGAACAAATCCACTCTCAGTCTCACATGAACAAATTCACTCTCAGTCTCACATGCACTCTCAGCTTTATGTGCAAAGATACATATGTACAAGTTCAATCTCAGAATCAAGTGTGCAGATCAGTTCTCATATCTAGATGCAAAGATTCTCCTTGATCCTGATGCAAACATTCACTCTCAGGTCTTGATACCATTTTTAAGATTCAAACTCAGCTGCAGAGTTAAGTAAGATATTGATACAAAGATTCATTCTATGAATCTGATGCATAGATTCACTCTCAGATCCAGATGCACAGATTCTAATGCACAAATTTGCCATCAATTCCAGATTCACTTCACATCCAGGTATACCAATTCGCCCTTCATTCTATATTTACAGATCAACCACTGGAACAAGATGTGCAGTATTACCCCCTGAAACAACAGACTAGCAGATTCTTCCCAGCAGCAGGAAATCCCCTACCAAGTTTTATTATATCAAGTTTCATCATCAACAGAAACTTATATCAAGTGTTTTATCATCATAGGAAAACCCATAATAGTCATCACAAGACACCCACACCGAATTATATCATTATTTGAAACACAGATCTAGTTTCATCACGAAAAACACATGCCAATTTTAATCATGAAAAAATCCATAGTTTTATCTTTAATAACACATATAAAGTGCATCTTTAGGAAACAAAATTCAGATTCAACTTCATGGGAAATAACAAGTTTTATCAGCATAAGGCCAAATAATCTGCACATAATTTGTCGGTCAAGATTTAAAAAAATTCTGCGTATATATAAAAATCAAAGATTTACAATGATTTCTACAGCAGATTTGTCTAAACTACATCTCAGGTCAATATCAATCTTCCATTCACTCAGCAAGCAACTTAACACCACTACTACATCCTGCACATGTCAACTTAACCTTTCAGCCATACACTGAGCCATTTCCCTCATTACAGGCAGCATGTAGCACCATCACACCATCCAGGAAATCCCCACAGGCGCTCTACCCCCATCTTCGGCAGCAGACGAATAGTTCCAAGTCTGACTGTATATCCGTCTCTCCTTTCCCTCGAGTGATAAACGTTGACCAGATCCCCTGGTAACTTCTCGCAGTGCCATTCTCCTCAGGCCATAATGATCTGTCTGTGCCTGCTCACTGTTCACTTGCTCCCAAAGAGCCCTCACAACATCTAGCTTGCCATACATAAGTTCAACACCAACTGTTGTAACCATTTCCTGCACAAATGAACATCTCACTTCCTTAAAATGCTAAATATTTCAAGCGTCTTTTATTTCTTTTAACAACTGTTTCATTCCTAATCTCTCTGGAGCCTCTATATTAGTTTTGGTTGCCATGAGATACAATGTATTCTTCTCTAAAAGTCTACATTATAATGACAGTTAACAAAACCTATAATGACTACCTCTAATTATAAAGCGCCCCCTTCAGGTCATTAGCATATCAGACATTCATACAGACCAGTCGACACTCAAAGGCAAATGGATCAGTCGACACTCAAAGGCTGATGGACAAATGGACACTAAAAGGCTGATGTAGTCGACATCTCATTGACTACCTTTACTTTCTCAGGAAAGGAAAATTCCATGTACCTAGTTTTGGCTGAGTTAACCTGGCAACCAAATTCAAAAATCTGCACAGACACAGATTAAAGGCTGCCAGACAATTGCACCTGCGGATAGTTTTAATTAATTTCTGGACAATGCAAAGTAAAAAAAAATAAAAAAAATTGCCCTATGTCAAAAACAAGAACTAAACGTGACATCTAACCACTAGAAACAAATACCTTCCCGCATACAATAAACAACATTCGGCAATAACACTTCAGAAAATCCTTTCATAAAACAACAAATAGGCCTGAGCTTTGAGGACCTCGGCCTCTGCTACTTCGTTGACCCGGCTGTCGCTGATATGGTACCACCGCCCAGGAGGAAGTAAAGTCTCCGCCCTTGCCTCCATGTCCTTGTCTATCACCTCGCCAGTATCTTGTCTGTCACTGGTGCCAGCATGAGTCATGCCCGCCTCCTTTGTCTTGAGAACCCGAGTCAGGTACCTGGAAAATCGGTACATGTTCATAAAAATTTCAACAGAAAAGGAGCATTTGCCTGTCTTAAGTGCATCGGGGATACAGTGCTAAACCTATAATTTTATAAACTAATCAGCACTAGATGGGTGGTAATTATGCTGTTCTTCTGTACTTCCCAGGACATTACCTGATGCTCATTTTAGGCTAGGTCAACCTGAAACATGTACATTTTGAAGAAAAAAATCCAACCCAATGCGGATCTGAACCCTACACACTCGGGTCAGTAGGCAAGTGTCTAGACACACCTCCTGCAAGCAACAGAACCAACTTCACTGTGCCAGGTTTTATCCTTCTTCTTCAGTGATCTCTGGTTGTGCGCTGAATTCACTGTGGGTCATAATCTGAGATGTCAGTTTGAGGCCTCTCAGATTTCTCCAAAACTTAGTTGTCAGGTCTATTGGGTGTGGCCACATGAAGTTCACAGCTCTTCCAGCAAAGGACAGTCTTGCAGTACATGCTTTGGGATCTGTTCAGCACGGAGACATATTGATAGAAAGCTGTTTGGCTCACACCTAATTTATACGAGTGTTTTCTGAGTTTTCAATGCCCTGTGCGTAAGCGAAAAATAGTTCCTTGGTCAGTTCTGTTTAGAATTCCAGTGAAATGTGACTAAAAAGCTTAACAAAATGGGAATTCACTGGAATTCCTTGTATTAGATTGACTTCAGTTAACCCCCATATTTTTTTCAGTTTTGTTTAGAGGCTTAAGGCAATCTTGTTTGTATCAAGCATTTGTTTTCAGGTCTGTTTCTGAATTTCTCTGAATGAAGGCTTTCCCTTCTGGAGAAGACAGCAGCTGGTATATTTATTCTTTGGCATGGCCTTCCTTGACTAAGGCAAGGTATGATCCAATATGCTTGGTCTCCCAGATGTAGTTTTTGAAAATTATTGAACGTCAAAATACAAACGAGTCAGCCTTACTCGAAATAAATGAGAGCTAAATTAATTAGATAAACTCCCCGTGTGGGTTCCGGGGCCCCATTGTGGGGAAAACAAGAATAGACCCACTGCCTCCCCAAAAGCATGTCGTAAGAGTCGACTAATTGGGGAGCTTCCTTTGAAGTCGGAGTGCGTCTGCCGGAGAGGCAAGAAACCGACAGTCTGTATTCAAGAGAATGAGATCTGTAAAACTGATGCACACGCAACACTCAGGTTCTGGAGCAGGACTGCAGTTCAGTAGTGGACGAGCAACCAGAACCTTCCGCCAGAGTGTACAGCTGGTGAACGCGAAGAAGAAGAAGAATTAGATAAACTAGGTACAGACATCCCAGTGTGTGTGTTCCGGGGCCCCGTTTTAGGGGGTTAAAAAAATGAACCCACTGCCGCCTTCGCCCACAATCATGTCATAATAAAAAGTGACTAATTAGGTGTGGGGAGGGGGTAGGGGGGAGAGAGGTCACTTGAAGTCTGAGGGCATCTACCTGATGAGGAACCAGAGGTGCATTTACACAGAAACCGGATATGTAAAACGAACATGCACACAAAACTCCGTTCTGGAGCAAGACTAAAATCTAGAAATGGAGAAACAACCACAACTTTCAGCCTGAGTTTACAGCTGGTGAAAGTGATGAAGAAGAATTCATAACCTTCTATATCCAGACTCTGTGAGTCCCAGGGGGTTTAGCATCACAGGCCCAAGGGGTAGTCAAGAGAGACGTAAAATCGGTGCATTTGGCGTTCACTGGGTTTCTAGGTAGGAGCCTATGAACCTATGATGCGGTCCATGGGACTCAAAGAGTTAAAGACCATACCACTGACATACGCCAAATTCTAATACTTACATATTCAAGACATCGTGGGGGCCGAGTGGATGAGTGTACATAAACTGAGTATATGGACTCATGCCCGGCCGTACTTTGATGTATGCGGTGTAGTGACCGCCGGTCAGTCGACCACTGTGCTCGACCACACCATACAGGGAGTACAGTATTTTCGTCTGGCCTTCTTTGACTCCCTGACAACAGAAAACATGGTTAGGATGTCAACATTCATCTCAAATATTGTTTAATATACAGCATAGTGGGTAATGGCAGGCTGCCAGCCTTCAGGTTTTGTGCTCAAATCCGCATCAAGGTGGATATTTTTCAAAAGTGACCTTGGGTCCCACGCCAACCCAGGCCATGTCATGAAAAAGTAAAGATGGCTGGTTGTGATGTTGACCCCAAAATCCCATCAAGTGCTGACTGGTTTGTAAACATGTGAGGTAAGCGACACAGGTGTTTAAAAAAAGTACTTTTTTATAATTCTTACATGTAAAATTAGATTTAGATTTAGATGATAGATCAACATCATGGCACAAAGGTAGTAACCCATAAGTGCTCTGTTCTACTTTTGACTCAAGCCCGAGTCAGAAGAATCTCAGCGCAGTGCACGAACTCTGTAGCACTAGCGAGGATCCTAAAATACTTTTTTTTTTAACCCCACATTTTGCCCGGGCAGCACCGTAAGGCTACTCTTTTTTTAATTTCCAAATGCCAAGGATTTTTTTAATTGCGCAAAAATACGTACTGGCATCCAAACTTACTACCCAGAGACTAGAAAAAATTACTAGAAGTCCATGTGAAAAAAAAAATCCCAGCCTTCACCGGGGCTTGAACCTGGGACCTCCAGCACTCGAGGCGGATGCCATGCCTTGACCACACAGCCCCCAGTAAGAATTGGTGGACATAGGAGTTCGGTCGCTAGATGCTCGCTTGCCGGCCTAAAGCTCTTTGGTTCAGTCCTGTATCATAACAGATTTGTTTCTTCAAATTTGACCTTGTCTATCAGGTAAACACTTTAAATCAGGTACCAGGTATCATACAAGGAAATAAAGGTGACCAGCATGATGCTTATCCTATCCCCCGCCAGGTTCTGACCCACCTATAATTATCCAACCCCCCCCCCCCCCCCCCTAGGTTCTGACAGGCCTATAATTATCCTATCCCCCCCCCCCCCCAGGTTCTGACCCGCCTATAATTACCCCCCCCCCCCCCCCCCCCCAGGTTCTGACCGGCCTATAATTATCCTATCCCCTGCCAGGTTCTGACCGGCCTATAATTATCCTATACCCCGCCAGGTTCTGACCGGCCTATAATTATCCTATACCCCGCCAGGTTCTGACCGGCCTATAATTATCCTATCCCCTGCTAGGTTCTGACCGGCCTATAATTATCCTATACCCCGCCAGGTTCTGACCGGCCTATAATTATCCTATCCCCAGCCAGGTTCTGACCGGCCTATAATTATCCTATCCCCAGCCATGGTTCTGACCGGCCTATAATTATCCTATCCCCCGCCAGGTTCTGACCGGCCTATAATTATCCTATACCCCGCCAGGTTCTGACCGGCCTATAATTATCCTATCCCCAGCCAGGTTCTGACCGGCCTATAATTATCCTATCCCCTGCTAGGTTCTGACCGGCCTATAATTATCCTATCCCCTGCCAGGTTCTGACCGGCCTATAATTATCCTATCCCCTGCCAGGTTCTGACCGGCCTATAATTATCCTATCCTCTGCCAGGTTCTGACCGGCCTATAATTATCCTATCCCCAGCCAGGTTCTGACCGGCCTATAATTATCCTATCCCCGGCCAGGTTCTGACCGGCCTATAATTATCCTATCCCCCGCCAGGTTCTGACCGGTCTATAATTATCCTATCCCTGGCCAGGTTCTGACGGGTCTATTAAAATATGAGACTAGGTTCAAATACCTAATGAGGCTCCTTGTGTAAAAGTATACTTTCCTTTTTCTTTTCATAGTATATCTATCCAGATATATATATGTCCCTTCCATCTATGAGTGTATCTATAAAGACATATGCCTGTTCCATATACATGTATCTATCCAGACATATGCCTGTTCCATATACACGTTTCTATCCAGACACATATCTATCCAGACATATACCTGTTCCATATACACGTATCTATCCAGACATATGCCTGTTCCATATACACGTATCTATCCAGACACATATCTATCCAGACATATGCCTGTTCCATATACACGTATCTATACAGACATATGCCTGTTCCATATACATGTATCTATCCAGACACATATCTATCCAGACATATGCCTGTTCCATATACACGTATCTATCCAGACACATATCTATCCAGACATATGCCTGTTCCATATACACGTATTTATCCAGACATATGCCTGTTTCATATACATGTATCTATCCAGACACATATCTATCCAGACATATGCCTGTTCCATAAACACGTATCTATCCAGACATATACCTGTTCCATATACACGTATTTATCCAGACATATGCCTGTTTCATATACACGTATCAATCCAGAGATGTGTCCTTTTTTATGTATGAGGGTATCCATATAGACAATGAATGACGTTGACCACAGCACTCACTGAGTGCCAGCTGCTCTAAAAAAATATGGGTCTAAAACTTTACGCCCAAGGCACCAAAACACGGTGAGAAATTTCTTTCATTTTTAAAAAAAATAAAAATCCAGACATGCTCTTTCCATTTATGAGCATTTATGTCATAACATATGTCCTCTCTCTGTCGCTCTTACTCAGTGACAGCATTTATACTAATGAAATTAAAACATACCTGGCAAAGAGAGCTGCAGTATGGAGCCAAGTCTAACAACAACGGGAAGTCTACATGGCGGTTCACTTTACGAGATGTCAAGCCTGTCTGTTGGTAAAGACAAACAAACAACTTTCAGTTCAGGCTGTCTTAGAAATGTACAAAAATCTTTTGGCAAGCACCCAAATACACTTATGAACGTCCTCATGTCTTTCTTCTTCTGCCATCACCAGCTGTAAACTCCATCAGAAGGTCCTGGTTAGTTATTCATCCAGCTCTGGACTTTGATCCTGTTCCAGAACCTGAGTTCTGCATGCACATCTGCTTAACAGAATTGGCTTATTTTTATGCAGACTGCTGGTTCCTCACCTTTCAGGCTTCAAAGGGACCTTAAACCTCAGGTAAAGTCAAGGTTACAGCTGGCTGGTGTAGCCATTATAGGCCCTATAATTAAAACTTTTTAAGAGACTGAATGGGGTATCTGGAATCTGCTTTGTTGGTCTGCCATCCGGAGGGGTCAACATTTTTGAATCAATCCCAAACCTTACAGTGTCATTGGTGAGTCGTAATAATGTGTTAGACCAAACAGTGCTCTATGAATGATACGGTCCACGTCACAGCAGCGACTGTTACTTCACTGCACATTTCCTGGTGCCCAATGTAGGCTGGGCTGAGCTGGGAGCCAGGGGTCATATCTGAGAATTCCCCCTCCATGCAGATTCAAACCCAAGACATTCAGGAAACAGCATGCAAGTGTCCATCAGGTCAAATCCATAATTCTTCTTCTTTTTCTTCAGCATTCGACATCAATCTGATAAACATATATAGGATTGTGCATTTAAGGTTGCCACCGGTCCAAATCCATAATAAATCACTGTGCTCTAACATGGGATGAATGAAGGTGTGGAAACAATAACATATCCATCATTATCATCTAGTACCTTCCCAAGTAGCATAGGAATCCACAATTTTTCCCATTCCACTTACCCAAGGACATCCCTCTGTTCTATAAAATAAGTGAAGGGAACAGGAAAAAATGGGGAAACAAAATTAGTTCACATTCTGGCTGGACTTACCTGTTCAAACCGCTTGAGGTGTAATGTGAGCACTGCAGGTGGTCTGAATATCAGGTACTGCTTATTTGCATTAGAGTAGACGGTGTCTTTGGCTTTCTTGTCAGCTGAAACAGACAATACATTCTTTGTATATATAAAACAGCTCCACACAGACCATGCCAACATTTGCTCAGTGTGCTTCAACAGACAGGGTGATCTTGAATATGTTTAGTTTAGTTGGCGGATCAACATCAAGGCCCACGGGTGTAAACCCATAAGTGCTCCGTCTACTCAAGCCTGAGTCTGAAGAATGATAGCTCAGTGCACAAACTCCGTTGCACCGGCGAGGATCCTGAAATAATTTTTGGGTAGATTTTTAACTCAAAATTTTGCCAGGGCAGTGCAGTTAGGCTACTCTTTTAGATTTCCAACTGCCAAGGGATTTTTTATGTGCGCATAAATACACACGGGCATCCAGTCTTACTACCTGGAGAACAGGGAAAATTACTAGAAGTACACGTAAAAATCTCAGTCTTCACAGGGGTTTGAACCCGGGACCTCTAGCACCCCTAATCCCCCTTCACAGCTGGGTTCTTGAATATGTATTACTGGCATTTTTCTGCCACTTCAGTACTCCACTGGACTACAGGGGAATGGGAATCATAACCCAATGTCATGTTGAGTACGACTAGCAAGATCAGCAAGATTCAGGAATATCTTCCACAATAACAAGTAATAAGTAAAGTTCCCTTTCCAACGCCTTTAGCTGTATTGGGCATATAGGCCTAAACCTATATTCTGTAGACCAATCAGCACTTTGTGGGTGATGTAATCAGCATCACACTGGCCACCTTTACTTCCCAGGACTGCACCTGGTACCCACTCAAGGCTGGGTCTACCTGAGAGCCAAGGTCATTTCTGAAAGGAAAACAAAAAGTCAGGCTCCATCAGGGATCAAACCCACAACCTTTTCCAGAATAAGCACGTAAGATATCAGGAGCACTGTTGCCATCACATTTGACAGTGTTTCTTCTGATGCTCAGCTGTGAACCTAACCCATCCATCTTTGACCCTATTCCATTCAATTAAGGCCAGGGATGAAATTATCTCTCCTCAGAGCCCAAATTCTGGGCAGTATTGTAGAGACCTTGCAGCAAGATCCTGCTTTCAACCTGCTTTGTTAACTCAAAAGGAATGATACAACCAATATGTTGGGAACAAGACGTGCGGCAGAAACTGCCAGATCAGAAGATCAGTGCTTTGTTTGCCTGCCTGTCGGACCTGCACTTCTAGACCAGCTGCCAGCCTAGGCTAAGGACCTGGTCTGCCCCGTTATTAAGGTGTTTTTTGTTGCCCTAGGATAAGGTTCAGATTCTCCTCAATGTGCTCTTCTGCCCAAAGCCGCTGGCACAAGTAGGATGTCACATTTTGGCATAGACTGTTGCCCAATATTCCACATCAACAGTGAACAGGTTGTACCGACTACTGTTATGTGGTAGCTTAGTCACATCTGACAAAAAACCTGACTGGATATGGATCCATGAAAGTCTACATTGGGCATATAATGTTAAGACATATTTCCTATGGACCAGTCGGCATCTGACAGGTGATGTGGTCATCATTAAAAATAGGCAAACTGCGGACTGAGTGTGTGTACAACCAGGGTAAGAATGGATTCTCACTGCAGTAACCGGTCCCTGTGGTGAAGACAACTGACTGAAGCAGTGATCAATTAGTGGCAGTTTTAGAACAGACTATTGGGGGAGGGGAGAGGTGTTGTGATTACCTTTGGCTGGGTGAGAGTTTTTTCGCCGTCTTCTGGTACATTCCCGACAGCCAAACTTGTTTGAACCAGTGAGCAGCTCTGCAGCAGTAAACTGGTTCAAGCAGGAGAGTATGGAGCATTCCTTGGGTGCAGGGTGGTACCTGAGACACAGGTATAGACGAAATAGGAAAGAAGTTAAAAATCATGAAATCACTATAGATTACCTGAAATTTACGGTAAAAGGCAACAATTACATGTGTGAAATATTTCCTAATTGTACAGGAGGAGCAGATGGCCAAGTGGCTTGAATGCTGGGTGTTTGTGCAGGTTTGAAACTTCGGAAAGGTACCAAACATTTTTCTGTCTGAAGCAAAAATAAATACTCTTAATCTGCACAGTTTGTGATGGTTACCTTATCTATAAATCCACCCCAAAACGGGACAATAATTTTTTTGTGCAGTTATTTTAAAGCCCCACCCTGGCTGTTTTCGGGGGCCCTTATATAACCTAACGATTGAATGGGGTTTCTGGGACTTGCGCCCAGGCGATTCTAATCTGTAAGGTGGCACTTTGTATCACTGGGTGTTTATCGCTCGCTGTGCTGTCCTGATGGGGTTGAACATCACTAACTCTGTGATGACTGTACTAGTCACATGGTCCTAAATCATGCTAAAAACCCCACCATAAACAGCAGTACCATAAGCAGTTAAGACAGTAATAGCTTAGACAGGGCACTCAAGACGTACAACAAAGGGAACAAGTTACAGACATTAAATATAATTTCAGAAAACAAGAACAGACCTACTGCCTCCCCAACAAGCATGTAGTTAGAGTCAATTAATTGGGAGTTTCTTTCGAAGTCGGAGAGGCAAGGAACCAACAATCTGCATATAATTAGGTCAGATCTGTTAAACGGATGCACACGCAACACCCAGGTTCTGGAACAGGACTAAAGTCCAGAGGTGGACAAACAACCAGAACTTTCTGCTGGACTTTCCAGCCGGTGAACGTGAAGAAGAAGCAGATTTCAGAACTGTATACAGAGGATACGTGGAATCTGTGGCATAGGCAACAAGTTGCAAACATAAAACACCATTTCAGAACTGTACGCCAAGACTACTCAGGTGTTTGATATAGGCAACAAGTTGCAAACAAATGATTTCAGAATTATATACACCAGGTACCGAGATGTACCTCAAGGCAAGAAACTACAAAAATTACAAATCATTTCAGAACTACACAAACAGGGAAAGGGTGGGGGATGGGCAGCCGCTAGCGCTACACAGCTTGTATTTTGTGCGGCACTTTCAGGTTTGACTATGTGAGTCAGTTCCAAAAATATTCAAGAAAAAAGCCCAACATAAAAACCCACTATGATTACAAAGCTGAACTCTTTTGCCCAAACAACACTGTCATCGTCGATAATGTGTCCTGTACTTTTTACTTCGCACATGGCTTCTTACTTGTTTCTGATGTTGGGAACTATGATTAAAGTATTCAGTGAAAGTTACTCTAAACGATTTCCTTTTAGCAACATCCATATCTAAAACCACATGAGTGTAAAATTATCGGATTCATAGCTACATGCAGTGAACTGGAGAAAGGAATCAGAAAATGTGGACAGGATTTGTTTTTCTTGCAATAGTTTGTGTTATTTTTTCAAATCAGCTAAATTGCAGCACTACTAATTACGTCATTACATTGAAATATATTATGTGGTCTTATTTTTTAACTCTTTCAGTCTCAATGAAAGCATCCTACGTTCATAGGTTCCTACCTAGAAGCCCAATGAACGCATGATGCACAGATTATACATTTCTATGTATGACCTCTGTTGTTAAATCCTCTGGGACTGAAAGAGTTAAAGGTGCTGTCTTCACAATGATGGTTGGCTACATTGTACCAATTGCCGTCTTTAGGAATATTATGTAGGTGAGGCTCCAATCATTCCCACGGTGTGACTCTCTTATCACTGTCTGAATACCATGAGAACCACCCCCTCCCCTTTTCACTTTTCCAAGCCACAGAATTTAAACCTAGTACTTAAGGATCATGAAATTGTTAAACGCATTCGCCGGTCCCTAAGCCATGATAGAACTATGAAACCTTTGCAAAATGTCTTACCTTGGAGACATTGTACTCATGGAGTAATTACGAGCCTCTCTCATGTACTCCTGCTGTGTCTTGAGTCGATTGTGATGCTCGTTCTGTTTCTCCTCTGTAAGTGAGATTTGAACCTCTACCTGCTCTTTTTCATTCTCAGTATGCTTGGGGTGTGCCTGACTAGACTTACATAAACTAGTCACTTCTTCTGCATTAATTAAACTCCTGTCTAAAGAGCCGGACCTCTGTAAATTAACACTAAATGTGGCACTAACTTCAGGGATGCCCTCACTGCAGATGGATCTCTTTATATCAAATTTTCTAGGTTCACATGCAGTTTCTACCAAAGCAGTTGCTGTCACATCAGTGTTATTTTCATTAACCAAAGTAACTTTGTCTTCATTATAAATGCTATTACTGTGATGAACTACATCCGAATGATTCACAGTCACTTCACAAGATATGCTGTTTTCAGACACATTCAGTTTTTCAACTCTAGCACAGAGCTCATTTACAGCAGTATGCTGGTCCTCACTGGGAGGGACAAAATCCCTTTCATGGATATCCCCATTCACGACAACCCCTGAAGTATTCAGCTCCGACTGAGATGACTGTGCCAAACCATGAGTTGGTACTTCCTGTGAACTACCGACTGTGCTACTATTTTCCTGTCTTTTCACAACTGTCAGAATGCTGTCTTTATTTGACTCCTGCCCCGAATCAGTGAATTCCACATTTGAGATGTGTGTTGTTACTGTGTAGGATATACCTCCTTGCATACTGATGTATGTTGTGGACAGGTCAGCTGTGGTGTTGGAGTCAGTGATGCGGCTGTCTACATGCTCAGCAGCTGGTTGGTGGAGGCTCCCAGCTGTAGATATCTCTAGTTTTGACATATCACTTTCTATATTATCTTCTATATCTGCATCTGAGAAAAAAAAAATTTTTTTTTTGTAAATTAACAAAGCAAAAGCATCTGTACCATGCAATCATTGATTTAAAAAAAAAAAGCCTTTAATAGAGTATGGCATGCAGCACTCTGGACATTACGAAATAAGTACAATATGAATAAAACACTAAAACACAGTACAGAAAAGCTTTTAAATCAAAGCCAGTAGTGCTAAACGGATAAATATGGAGCTGGTTCCAAACAAAAAGTAGGAGTCCAACATGGCTGCTTCCTCTTCCCCAACCCTGTTTAACAAATTTTTGGAGAGAATTATGACTGGCGCACTAGAAAATATCACGGAACAGTTGATAGAGGGCGAATTGTAACAAACTTAAGATTTGCAGATGACATCTATGGGTTGGCCGGGAAGAACAAGAACTAGTCAAACTTGTAAACCTGCTTGACATAACATTGAACATGTATGGCATTGAAATAAAGACGGAAAAGACTAAAGTAATAACTAATAATCCACCAATGTGAGTTAAAGGTCACAAATTAGAACAAGTCAGTCACTTCAAATATTTAGGACCCATTTTAAGCGAAGTAGGATCTAGACTAAAAATCATATCTAGGATTGTCCAGACAACATCAGTCCTTGATAAACAGCAAATATTATGGAGACCAACAAATATTTCAGGTAAAACTAAGCTTCAAATGCCCAGAGCACTAGCTATAAGTAAATTTATGATTGGCTGTAAAATATTGACCTTAACAGCTGGACTCGAAAAGAAGATACAAGCACGGGAATGCGATTTTTCAGAAACATTCTTCACATTTCATACAGAGACCACATCACAAATGACAGAGTTTGCCATATGAACCTCTTTTAACTACAGTTAAAAGGCAAAAATTCAATAGTACAGACACGCAGTAAAATCTAACGGTCTCTTAAAAGCAATACTACAAGGCGCTGTAGAGGGGAAGAGGCACACCAAGAAAGACCTGGATACATGACTGACTGGACAGGCCTTAGGCATGCAACCATGAAGTCTATCGCATCTGACCGTCAAAAAGGTTGAGGGAGCTGATCAGACAGTCAACATCAACTGGTGACCCAACGACATGCAGTCTTACGGGATGATGATGATGAAATTAACAAAGAACCTGACAATTTACTGTTAGTATAGAAGTATGATTCTGAGAATTGGAAACAAGCAGAAAGGCAAACATTATTTCTTTTTTTTTTTTAATACTTATTTTAAAATAAGGGTGGTTTCACGACATCGTCTTCTTCTTCATTTAATTCCCCAATGCATCACAGCTATTTCTTCTTCTGTACCGACTCTTTAACAGTGTGAGTAGTATGTTGCCTGGTGGTTTACAGCTAGGCTGTGATATACTCACCTGTCAGTTGACCTCGTCAGCAGTGATGGAATAGATACAGAAACATGGTAGAGAGTTTCAGCAGAAAGAAACTCCTGGATAAGAGATGTGAGCAACAGACTGAGGCACTCTGAGCGCAATCTCATCCAACAAGCTGAGGACAAAAGTTACACGTGCAGAATGCACTCACCCGCTGCAGGACCTGCGCTTCATCTTACAGACGCAGAAACTATGATGGATACTGTCATTCTTGCATCAGACTATTCAGTGACCAGCTGTGCCTGCCTAGGCTCACAACTATATAGTCCTTCAGGACTGACAGGTCTACTGTTCCTGGTCCTTCTCCTCATCTGGTGTATGCCTCATTTGGTATCGCAAGAAATTCTCTCCATGGGAAAATTGTGGCCCAAACAGATCTCATTTCAGTAAGCCCCTAATAAGTCAATTGTTTTTAAAAAAGACTTTTAAAGGGGTAGTAAGTCTAGCCCACATCCCTTCTGTGTTGTCTGTGTGTCCCTCTGTGTATGCGTGTCTATGTGTGTGTGTGCATGTGTGAGCGTGAGTGTGCACATGCATGCTTTTGTTTTTCTTGATATTCAAAATATGCATCTTATTATATGAACATAACATGCTTTATTGATAAAATACAACTGCTGTGTAAAAGATGGGTGTTTTGGAAGCGCCGAATGTGAGACGGGCCTATGTGCCCAATTTGTGACACTTTGAAAATAAAGTTTGTTCCTTCATTCCCCTCCCCCTCCAAAAAAAGGCTGCAGAGCTAACACAAAGACAACTTTTCTTGCATTTTTAAAAGCGTTTACAGAAAGTGCAGCGCATACAGGACATTAGAAATTATTACTTTAAAGAAGAAAGCACCCACTTCACTGCACCAAGTTTTATTTCACATGACTTGGTCTTTCTCCGCAAAGTGACTTTTCATCCAAAAAAGTGCAGCACAAAGAAACTATTTAGCTGCAGCGTCGAGCCCCAGGAATCTCCAAAACACAAGTACTTGTGAACCAAAGGATATGATCCACACACAAAAAAACAAAGTTCACAAAATGAGGCAAACAGCTCAACTACAGAGAACCCGATCTCAAAAAATAAAACCAGAAACACACATACATATGGACAGGGTAGATATCAACTAAGCTATTAGCCTAGACTGGCAAATAATGATGAATCTCTAAGCCAGGGCTATTCAACTAAGAGTTCTCAGGGCCATAATGTTGAAAATGGGGATCGTCATGGGCCTTAGGCCTCAGCTCCACCTTAGAAAGATTGACTAGAATACAATTGGTAATGATCTGCATACCACTTGCTAGGCCTATGTTGGCCAGATTAAGCTCGTTAGCCACCAGTAAACACTCCTACTCTAAACACTAACATGGTTACATACGTACATGTATATGACCTCAGAGTGAAACCTGGTGAAGCCTGTCTTTGAAAGAAGACACTGTAACCAAGTTCTCATGTGAGCAATCAACAGAGGTACCTGGGGGGTTCTACTGGAGGACTGGGCACACACAGGAATGCTCATGGGGGAGAGACATTGAAAATAAACGTATTTACCTGAAGGATCATCCCTTTCTTCGTTGTCATCGCCACCAAGACCATCCTTGCTTCCCTCAGGTGAGCTGTCTGCAGCTCTACCACCACTAATGAACTTCTCAGCTGATACAACTGGCTTCCCGTAGCTGGCGGCAGTAGTTCCAGATACCTCTTGTTGCTGACTGTCAGGCTGAGGTTGTGCTGCTTCCTCTTCAACCCTGTCTTTGTCTATGCTGCTGTTTTCATTGTCATTATCATTTTTATTGCTGTCTTCACTGGCAACATCCTGGTCAAAGCTAGCACTTTCATCATGACATTTACCCCCACCGCTATCTTGGTGTTCCGTAGACTTGGACTTCTGGAGTTTTGTCTTTTTCTAAAATGAGAAAACAAATTTGCAAAAACATTGCAAGAAGATCATTGTTTTAGTGTGAGTATAATGACAGATGAATCTGGTGTTAATAGAGAGACCATTCATAACATTTTAGTGCAATATTTTGGCAAGAAAAAAGTTGCCTAACGGTATGTACATTTGTTGTCTGATGACCAAAAACATCAGCGTGTTGAGTACCCAAGAGACAATCAAAACAATAATTTTTAGCCCCAAAACAAGTGTCTGTTCTCAGCCTTGCACCATATTCCCCAGATTTGTTCTCTGTGATTATTTTCTATTGACAAAATTAAAGTTACCATTGAAAGGACACATCTTTATCGATACTGATGACATCCAAAGGGCTGTAACATCGACTTTAAGGGCCATAACAAAAGAAGAACTACAGAGGTCATTCTGGTGTTTGTTAGATCGTGCCACTTGCTGTATCAATGCACAAGGGGCTTACTTTGAATCAGATACAGGTTATATCTTCAACTATTGATTATTTTAATTTTTATGGAACTAGTCTCATTACTTAGTTGTCGGACCTTATACAATACGCAAAATTGCATAATTCCAACTACAATCTCCCAATAATTTCCAAATCAAAGTGTGAAATAGAATCCACAACCTCAACTGCTTTCCGTCCTTTTTAGGATGACATTTTTCGTTATTTGAAGCCCTACTCTGGCTCTTGCCAGAGGCTGCAATATAGCCTGGTCAGAAATATGGCCTAAAGGCTAAACGCGGTTTCTGGGACCTCTCCACGGTGATCATCATCCACATGGTGGCACATTGTGTCATCAGGTGTTTATCGCTTGTGTGCTGTCCTGGTGGGGTAGAAAGTCAGTCAGTCAGTCAATCCACAACTTTCAGAGCACCAGCTAAACGGCTCAACCACTTCACCATCCAGGAGCTGCAGTATCCTGGTGACTAGCTGCTTGCCTGCCAGCCCAAAGGTTTTCAGCCTAGACTAAAACTCATGTAACTGACCTTGGCTTCTTGGTCAACCCAGCTTTAAATGGGCACAAGGAAATGTCCTGGGAAGCAAAGATGGCCAACATGATTTTGAACCATGCTACATCATAAGGCTTCCTCTATCTCTTTCCAAAACTCTTGTAAGTTGGCAACAACTTATCTTCTGCCATTAATCTTTCCTGTCATCACAATGTTCTACAACGCTTCTCATCACATGATCGAAGAACACAGACTACCTCTTTCTTATAGTTGTTACAGTTTTCTAATTTTATTAGCCATTTCCAGGCAATTGTCTTTAAGCCTCTCCACAGTATCCTCAATATACATCTTAGAAAACACATCTCTACGGCCTCTAGTTTCTTTTCTTGTTCACTTACATTCCAAGATATACAGCAGCACTGGTTCAACACAATATTTCAATACTATTTTTCTTATGTTTACTGAAAAAACTGCAGGGGTATGAGTTGAATAAATATGATAGCCAAACACAAAACAAAAGTATCACGGTACTCACAAACCATGTGAATGAACTATGAGTGGCCATGGAAATGAGCTCAAGATTTAAGCAAGCTAAAGTCAATCATCAATCAAGCATACTAGCGGACAGTCTACATAACCAGAAGGCAATAATACTACATGGAATAGAATATTTATAGTAGTAGTAGTAGTGATAGATTGACAGTTCAACCAGTAGTAGTGATCTCATTTTTACATGTTAAGTAACTGGTTTTCTCAGAACTGAGAGGCAAACCTCACATTCAGACCTAAGAGCACTTGGAGTTGCCGAATGGAAAGAGAAGGCCAATCAAAGAAATGAATGGAAGCAGACAATATCTGCAGCAATGAACCTCATGGACTCAGAATCTGAAAAAGAAACAGATAGAACTAGACTGTGGTACAAGAACTATGTCACTGAATTCTTATGCAACCTGTGCAGTAGGCGTCCAGTGATCAGGACAACCTGAAAGGTCACGGTCAGTAAACCATAGCATGGCTTAGTATTCCAGCTTAGGTTTTCTGTTTCATGACGAAGTGGAGCTAAGATCATGGAGTTCGGAAAAATCTTGTCGAGCAATCAGAAATGAGAATCTGTGTCACTGTGATCACATCATCTTGTACACACCCCTCCACTTGCACGCACCTGTAGCACTTTGACAGCTACCTCTTAACGCCTGCGATTGTGGTTTTCAAATAGCTGCCTTTTTAAAAACATCTAGCTTATGTAATGGACACTGCAGACTCAACAAACACTCATATAAATTAGGTATGAGCCAAACAGCTCTCTGCCAGTGCCTTCATGAAGAACAGACCCCAGAACATGGCTTGCGAGACTATCCTCTCCTGGAGGAGCTACGAAGCAACATGTGACCACATCCAGTAGACCTGACAACTAAGCTTTTGGGAAACCTAAGAGACCTTGAGATGCAACCTAGTCTATGGCCCATAGTGGATTAAGCATATGACCAGAAATTGCTAAAGACCAAAACATCTACATTACTCATTCTAGTCTTTCAAGGAATTTAAGACATTCTTAAAATCATGTAACTGAAATTCATAGATAATGTGGCATAAGATGATTTTCAATGATCTGCTAACCTTTGCATCCTTCTTTGCCAAGCGTTTGTTCTTTCTCTCTTGGTATTTGCTGGGTTTTTCTGAGTAGGTATCTAAACCCATCACAGAAGCAGCAGCCATGGCATCACCATCTTCTGTGGACTCACTTATGCTCACAGAGTCCTTCTTCTTTCCTATCAGTATGAGGTTTGGTCGTTGTGGCTGAAAAGAAAAGAAGGAATATGTTGATATCTATATCTTTTTCCTGTTGTTGTTGACAACATAAGGTAGCCACTTGTGACCGCCAATGTTGTTTCTATCTATCTATATCCTCTTCATGTTGCTGTTGATACCTAAGGCAGTCAATTGTGACCTCCTATGTTGTTTATATCTATATCCTCTACATGTTGCTGTTGATACCTAAGGCAGTCAATTGTGACCTCCTATGTTGTTTATATCTATATCCTCTACATGTTGCTGTTGATACCTAAGGCAGTCAATTGTGACCTCCTATGTTGTTTATATCTATATCCTCTTCATGTTGCTGTTGATACCTAAGGCAGTCACTTGTGACTCCTATGTTGTTTATTTCTATCTATATCCTCTTCATGTTGCTGTTGATACTTAAGGCAGTCAATTGTGACCTATGTTGTTTATATCTATATCCTCTACATGTTGCTGTTGATACTTAAGGCAGTCAATTGTGACCTATGTTGTTTATATCTATATCCTCTTCATGTTGCTGTTGATAACTAAGGCAGTCAATTGTGACATCCTATGTTGTTTATATCTATATCCTCTTCATGTTGCTGTTGATACCTAAGGCAGTCACTTGTGACCTCCTATGCTGTTTATTTCTATCTATATCTATATCCTTTTCCTGTTGCTGCTGAGACTAAGGCAGTCACTTGTGACCTCCTATGCTGTTTATTTCTATCTATATCTATATCCTTTTCCTGTTGCTGCTGAGACTAAGGCAGTCACTTGTGACCTCCAATGCTGTTTATATCTGTAATGTGTCGCCTCCACACTCGATCTCTCTCGTGCAGATTTAACACTGACTCTGTTGTCTAGGTGTTAAGTCACAGTTCATTCTAGCCAGACGGCACTTCTCTCCACGCCCACACAACTTTAAATGACAGTCGACAACAGCTGACGCATTTCACAGGTTTACTGTCAATGTAACACAAGCGACACGAATCAACAGATGAACTAACTTACGCCATTCAGGCAATCTCGCCTTGCTCACGCATTGAGTCTCTAGCCATGCTTCAGACGATGGACACTGGCATGTACACGGCTGGCTCAACAAACATACCGTGAAACACAACGGCTGGCCTAAACGATCATTCAATAGCGCTGCCTTTCTTGTCGTTCAGCATTAACATTCATTCGACTCTGATTCAGATCCACGTGTGCACTTCTCACTCTGGATTCACCTTCTCAGATTCAGCTTCACATCCTTCCAATCTGGGGCCCAGTCACCGAATGACCACCTCATTCTCAATCCCCCAGATCTCGCATTCACACGTGACTCACTCACTCTTGTCTTTTCACCATATCTCAGTGAAACCCATGCTATCAGGGACCTACCCAATTCTGTCAGTCATACCCTGACGGTATCCCTATTTATAGCATCATTACAATATCTATCTATATCCTTAATATAATAAGGTGAAATTTATGCACAAAAAATATCGCAAAAAGTTCCATGTTACTTATGGTCATTGTTTAAATATAATGGAAGCCACAGTAAACGCCTAAACATATTACACATCCATCAACCTAGGATAGACCTATACAAATCAAGTTTGGCAAGAATTTATATTATTTTACATGCCCCCATAGATGACAAAAAGGATCATATTTTTTAAATAGCGCCATTTTCCCTAGATTGATAACAACCACTACCGTTTATTGTAGTTAGAAATGTAGACATTCCAGTGCTTGTACTGAATATTTTGTTGCTTTTGATAATGTTTATTACTTGATGTGTGAGGATTTTTTCAAGAAATTCCCATTTCATGACCATCCCAGGCCCTTTTTTGCCAGCGAAAGCGTCAAAAGAGAAGAGGCTGGTCACTGACCAAGAGGGCTACAACATCAAATAAATATACTAATAATGTATTAAAAGAGAAGAGGCTGGTCACTGACCAAGAGGGCTACAACATCAAATAATTTTCAATTCTATATATTAATTAATGTCAGACTTGGACATTAACAAAAGAACATGAGAGAAGACTAACCACCTGTGAAATGAGATGTTTGAGAATGGCTGCGAATAAAACCAGAAGAGATCGAGTGAGAAACGATGTGATCACAAGAACTATTGGAACCATACCCATCGTTAAATTTATTGAGAAGCAAAGAATGAAATGGTTTGGTCACCTAATGAGAATGGAACCAACGATGCCAGCATCAAGAGCATACAACATGAAAATCGAAACAACAAGAGGCAGGGGAAGACCAAGAAGAAGATGGATTAAAGGAGTCACGGACAACTTGAGACTTCATAACATCACGGCATATGAAGCGACTGAGCGCGCCCTGGCTCGGTTGCCGATCATCTGATAGACTGCGACGCCTAGCGGCACAAGCAGATTTTGACAAAAGAAGAAGAAGATATATTAATTATTAACTACAATTTTAAAATTCCCCCAACATACTTTTTCTTCCATGACAGGCAAGGACAAATCTAGAAATGCTTCAAAAATCTGTGATACCTGAAAAGAAAAATACAGTTAAGAAAAGCATGCCATTCATACAAAATCAAATAAAGTATAGGATGTTCTGAAACATATAAGTGTTACCTTTCCTTTGGAGTAATCAAGGCAGGTGGAGAAAAGGATCATTTAGCATGGGCAACACTAACATATGGAAAGAAAAAAAGATGCCAATAACACAGGATGCAGTGCTAAAAACCCATATTTTTATACACCATTCAGTATGGATGATGATTAAAATATATGGTGTCTAAAAATCATCTTGGCAATTATGTTAATCAAATCTCAGCTAAATATACTGATCAAAACCTTTAAAGCTCGGGGTAACAGATTTAACCATTTTGCTAGGAAGACTTCCATGAATTAGGTAGCAACAGAAAGCACTATACATTGAATAAAGACACACCTTGCGTCAGATTTGGTGCCCTGTTTTTTTTTTTGGGGGGGGGGGGACAGACACTGTCTCTATAATATCTGCAGTCCTCTTCCAATGAAAAGTAGTTTTTAGATGTGGTAGTTGGAGTTCCAGACCAATAATACATCCCTTCTTTCCATATGAATTACCATTATCTCCTGTGCTTTTCACCATTTACATGGTGAGAATCACAGGCGAGCAGATCACAGGACAGAGGAAGATACTGAACTGTCGTATGATGATGATGTGTTAGTGTATCGTTGGGGTAAATATAGAGAACAGATTGCTGGAGAACTTCAGATATAACTCAATCGCATAAGCAATTGGTGTGGTGAAGACGGTGCACTGGTCAATCCAATGAACGCAGTAGTGATGTGGTTCTGTTTGAATAACCATACTGTCAATGCCCTAACGCCAACTATAAATCTATGCTCCAAGACTCTGAAAAAAACATAGACAATGAAATACCTGGGGATATGATTTGATTGAAGCTATGCTTTCACTGAGCACATAGACCAATAAGTATGCTCAGGAAGACTGAGATGAGCTGGGTTCTACGACAGTTGTTAGTGTCTCTGAGGCGGTTAGGCTGACAAAGATCAGTTTCATTTGTGTGCCAGGGCATATGCAGGCATGCAAGAAAATGAGTAAGCTGATAGGCTTGCTGGTAATGCTACTGTTGGTGGCGGATAAGCCATAGACAAGGCTGATATACTGAATGCTCTACGAGAAGTAAGACATTTTTCAGAACCAAGTGACTGTGATTCTGCAACCATGACCAAACTGCAAAAACAAGTTAACCCACTGACTACCAAGCCCATTAACTCTTGCATTTCCCCAGATACCACGTTTTTTAGTGTGTACTAAAAAATGCCATAGCTTCACAACTATTTGATATAATCTCAATATATTTTGTATTTTGCACCAAATTGAATGAAGAATACATTTCAAGATAAAAAAAAGTGTTTATTCTGTTTTGCATCATCATCATGTGGCTGTAGATTGGTGCAAAAAAGGCAACCGAAAAATCTTTTATTTGACAACAATAAAGACTAATAAAAATGTCTTATCTTCAAAAAATATTTAACAAAAATTTATAATATTTTGTATTTTTGCACAAAATTGAACCCATACACATTTGAAGAAAAAAAAATGAGGTTTACTCTGACATAGTCATCATCATCATGTGGCTGTAGATTGTTGCAAAAAAGGCAACTGAAAATCTTTTATCTGACAACAATAAAGACCCCTAAAAACATGTCACAGCTTCACAACTGTTCAAGAAATCTTATCTAAAAATGTCATATTTTCATAAATATTCAACAAACATATATTTTGTATTTTTGCACAAAATTGAACCCAGAACACATGTGAAGACAAATAGTGGTTTACTTTGACATAGTCATCATCATCATGAGGCTGTAGATTGTTGCAAAAAAGGCAGCTGAAAAATCCTTTATCTGACAATAATACAAACCCCTAAAAACATGTCACAGCTTCACAACTGTTCAAGATATCTTATCTTATCTGATATTGTTTGCACCAAATTACTACTTTTTGATATCATCATCATGTGGCTGTAGATATGGTGCAAAAAAGGCAACAGAAAAATCTGACAGCAGTATATAGAAAATGCCTCCGTGACATGATGGTGCCAGTAAATGGTGAGTGGATAAATGGATGTATGCTCCGGTAGTCTGAAATGGACGGCTCTTTCACAACACACTTGAAGTAACAGTACAAGGAACCCTGTCACTTCATTTGGGGTTGTGTGTTTCCAGTTCTTGGCAAAACAGTTGTCTGGTTTCGCACCAATCTTTGCCTCAGCATAACGGTTTTTTCTTTAGCAAACACAGCAAGAATTTCTTTACTGAAGAAAATATCCACTGGTTCATTTGTTCCTTCTGGCAGAAAAAAACCAGAAGTGCCAGTAAATGGGGTACTCCAGGAAAGCCTTTCAAATCACAATATCAGTCATCAACCATTGGGGGGCATGGCAAATCTTCCTCGGACTCGTCAGATGATGATGATTCTGAATCAAAAGCGGCAATGATATCTTCGTCATGTGCAGACTCAGGCACAAAATCTTTATAATCTGTGGGCTTTGACTGAATACTCTCACAAGAACTATCAGTGTCACTTCGAAGTGTCATGCCGTCAATTCACTGTCGAGGATGTTTTGAATGGCATTTCGTTAAATTTATCATAGTCATAACCATCAAACTGTTTAGAAGTGTCTTCAAATTCACTTTTTGAAGCAAAATCAAGAAAATCACATGCATCATCAGAAAAAGGAGAAGTATGACCACCACGATGGTTGTGAGAATTTGACGCCATGATGAATTTTTTGTCAATGTCTCACCGACATGGAAGCTAACTACAAAAATTTGTCAACTATTTACTACGAAGTTATTTCCCTTAATCATACAGAAGTGAATAAGCTAGAGGTTTCAACTAAATTCAACATAAAAATTGCGATTTTAACATGCCGGCGAACGTCCGAAGCTAAAATCACAAGAGGTGTGACATTGGTGGCAGTAAGCAAACGTCGCCTCGTCGCATAACGTGCGACGCTGGTAGTCAGTGGGTTGTTTGTTGTTTGTTTGAGTATCCAGAAGCCATGAGTTGTTAACCCTTAGGCTCGGTATTATGGATATCGCAACCTTTCGGCCTTGATTCCATTGTAAATACCGTAAATCTGGGAGAAATGTGGCTTTTCTGCCTACCCCCGGGATTGAACCTGGACCACAGGAAGTTCGTCACCCGGTCACCGCGCAATCCAGTTTGGCCAACTACGCTAGAGAGCCGGGCGTAGTCAGTGGGTTAAAAGATATTGCAGCCTAGCTGTAGATGACAACATAACTTACCAACTGTCCTTTTAAGGGATGACACAGAAAAAGGAGACAGCAAAAAGTGAAAAAAATATTCAACAAAAATGACACTTACATTTTTACACTCTTCACATTTGACTGTACTGACCAGGTGTCCACCAAATAATCCATCGAGAAATGTATGCTTCACTTGTCGGCCATACTCTGTCAAATACAAGCATGACACTATAGTTTTACTTAATACAGGCTGTCACTTAAAATTATTTTCATGTGGCCCATAGCCTTTTTAATTCATTATAAACCAACAGATGAAACGATTTGGCTATGTGATGACAATGTTTTGGTACTA